AAAATGTTGAAATCCTAGAGCGCTCCAGTTCAAAGAAATTATCAGTTACAGTTTATCAAATCACACAATATGTTGGATATTGTCTAACAAATTATATTCCTATACGGTGGTCCCGTTTTGGCGGGAAAAACTGTGAGGAAGAAAAATTTGGAATTTTTTTTCTAAATTGCCTTTAATCTGTTAAGACGTAATACTGCACATGTTCCGATTTAAAGACCAGAATAGCGTCCCCTTAAACAGCTAAGAATTAGAATAGTAACCCTAACTGAAAATACAGCTATTTATAGTTTAGAAAGTGACCCTAACTGAAAATACCGCTATTTATAGTTTAGAATAGTGACCCTAACTGAAAATACCGCTATTTATAGTTTAGAAAAGTGACCCTAAGTGAAAATACAACTATTAGTTTAGAACAGTGACCCTAACTGAAATTTCATCTATTTATGGTTTAGAATAGTCACCCTAACTGAAAATACAGCTATTTATAGTTTAGAAAAGTGACCCAATAGTTCAAAGAAGGTTTTTTTGGGAGAATTTTTCTTGCCTGGTTCATTGGATCCATAATTTACCAGATTCTTAATTCAAAATAGAACTGGGATGTATATGTATAGCAGTAACCCGTCCATAGGCTGATGATGAAGGATTCTTCTAAGGCCTTCTACGAAAGTAGAACCTAACCATTACAAAATACAGCTATTATTTTGGAAAAGTGACCCTAACTGAAAATACAGCTATTTATAGTTTAGAGTAGTGACCCTAACTGAAAATACCGCTATTTATAGTTTAGAAAAGTGACCCTAAGTGAAAAAACAGCTATTAGTTTCGAATAGTGACCCTAACTGAAATTACAGCTATTTATAGTTTAGAATAGTGACCCTAACTAAAAATAGAGCTATTTTTAGTTTAAAAAAGTGACCTTAACTGAAAATACAGCTAGTTATAGTTTAGAATAGTGACCCTAACTGAAAATACAGCTATTAGTTTAGAAAAGTGACTTTAACTGAAAATACAGCTAAAAGTTTAGAATAGTCGCCCAAACTTAAATTACAGCTAATTATACTTTAGAATTGTGACCCTAACTGAAAGTTTAGAATAGTAACCCTTACTGAATTTACGGCCGGCTAAAAGTTTAGAATAGTAACCCTATAAACCTATCTTAAAATATAGCTAGTTTAAAAAAGTTACCCTAACTGAAAAGATAGCTATTTATAGTTAAGAATAGTGAACCTAACTGAATTTAAAGCTATTTAGAATAGTCACCCTCACTGAAATTACGGCCAGCTAAAAGTTTAGAATAGTAACCCTAAACCTATCTGAAAATATAGCTAGTTTAAAAAAGTATAGCTATTAAAAATATATAGCTTTTAGTATTTTTATGTTTAAAAAGTGACCCTAACTGAAAATATAGCTATTAGTATTTTTATGTTTAAAAAGTGACCCTAACTGAAAATATAGCTATTAGTATTTTTATGTTTCAAAAGTGACCCTAACTGAAAATGATATTGTATGCCGAAGATGAACCAAGCTTGGAATAAAAGGACCGGAAGTGCTAATGTGAAAACTCAAAACAATTTTTAAAATAGGAGAACTCATGCTGGTACTCATGGAACACACATAGCTGGCGTTGGACATACACACACCAACACACACACTCACTTCAATCTCCATTGACCATTAAGCTTGGAGGACTTGGGGTAAGCTGGGTTAAAGTGCCCGGGGTGCCGGCAGTCTGAAATCTGAAGAATCCAATCAGGCAGTCTATCATCACCCTCCTCTCATCCTTACAAACTAGTCATTTTAAATTCCTCATTAATATTAGAATCTTAAAAACTGTAGTTTTAATTTAGGTTAGGGGCAAGTGACGAGAAAAGTAGAGAAACCGTATAAATTGTTATTCTGCCGATTTATAATCGGAATTTATAATTCCTCCGATTTTGTTATTGTTTTTTTTTGCCTAGGTATTTCTGTTGTGATAACGTAAACCCAAGTGGATCGTNGTTGGATCGTTTTTTTGCCTATGTATTTCTGTTATGTGATAACGTAAGTACAATTGGACCGTTTTTTTTTTACTGTGTATTTCTGTTGTGAAACGTAAACCCAGTTGGATCGTTTGTTTGCCTATGTATTTCTGTTATGTGATAACGTAAGTACAATTGGATTGTTTTTTTTTTGACTGTGTATATCTGTTGTGATAACGTAAACCCAGTTGGATCGTTTTTTTTGCCTATGTATATCTGTTATGTGATAACGTAAGTACAATTGGATCGTTTTTTTTTTGCCTGTGTATTTCTGTTATGTGATAACGTACACCAAGTTGGATCGTTTTTTTGCTTATGTATTTTTGTTATGTGATAACGTAAACAAAGTTGGATCGTTTTTTTGCGTATGTATTTCTGTTATGTGATAACGTAAACCCAGTTGGATCGTTTTTTTTGCCTTTGTATTTCTGTTATGTGATACAGTAAACACAGTAGGATTGTTTTTTTTTGCCTATGTATTTCTGTTATGTGATAACGTAAACACAGTTGGATCGTTTTTTTTGCCTGTATATTAGTTTCCGAGTCAAAAATTGGCATAGTATATGGAGAGCAAAATGTGTTTGGACCCTGGCAGAAGATATAGCAAAAAAACCCAAAACGAACCAATGCAAGAACAACCGTTTTTTTGGACCGTTTTTAATTTTTCTTAAGATAAAGATATTGCAAAGTTTAATATAGTACAGTTTAATATAGTATAGTTTAATATAGTACAGTTTAATATAGTACAGTTTAATATAGTACAGTTTAATATAGTACAGTTTAATATATTACAGTTTAATATAGTATAGTTTAATATAGTACAGTTTAATATAGTACAGTTTTGTTAAATCTTTTTAAAAACGTTCCAAAACGATTAACAGCACTATACTGCCGGATCAACAGGATAATTGTGATTTTTGTTGCTTATTTAAAAATTGATAGATAACTTAACTCATCATTAGCTTTAATGGTAGGGGAGGAAAATACCCCCACCCCAGTAGCACCTATGTAAGATAGGTGGTATGGTGTAAAAAGTTCTGTCTGTTCTCCGTGTCCATGAATAGTCTAAGGTTGAGAGTTGAAAAGAATGATCGGATACTCTTTAAGATATATTCTTTACGCCCAGCTCTCTTCTTATTCTAAACCAAACCCTGCTAGGTTGCCAAGTTTCGACAAAAAATGACGGTTCCTTGATTTGATTCAATTATGAATCTGTTTTGTTAAAGATGAATTCACTGTGCAGGGTTTGGGGTTCAAACACACTCAATAAACCCATGAGCTTCAACCCTACATCTCGATATTCAATGTTAAACTTCATTTCAAACCTAGGTTTAATATTCTCCGGTCTATTCATTGGGTGCAGGTTGGGTTTGATTGAAAATCTCAGGTTTGAATGCTTTCCTGGGTTTGGGTTTGGACGGATAATTTATTAGGAAGCTCTGAGCCCTAAACAGGGATAGATATACTTCACATACAGATAACGTACTTTTTACAGGGACCTAACGATTTAAACTATTACAGCTGGACCTAGTAATTAAACCTAATTCGGGGACCTAACAATTTAACCCATTAAAGGGACCTAACGATTTAACCTATTACAAGGACCTAACGATTTAACCTATTACAAGGACCTTACGATTTAACCTATTACAAGGCCATACCAATTTAACCTATTACAGGGACCTAACAATTTAACATATTACAACGGACCTAACAATTTAATATATTACAGGAACCTAACGATTTCACCTATTACAGCTGGACCTAACAGGGACTCTACAATTTACCTAATACATGGACCTAAGAGTTTACCTTAATTATAGGGACCAATTTATTAACCTTAATTACAGGGACCTAATAATATATCCTTAATTACAGGGACCTAATAATATATCCTTAATTGCAGGGATCTCTCACAATTTACAATTTACATTAAACACTGTACAGGGTCCTAAGAATTAGGCATGGAAGGCATATCGAAAAATAAATTTTAGGGACCTCACAATCTTACCCAATAATGGGAGCTAAGAATTTAACCTTAATTTCAGGGACCTAACAAGCTTACCAAGTAACGAGGAACAACAATCTCAGTTTATTACCGAGGGGACAGATATTTTGTGACTAGAAATTCCGACGGCTTCAGACCTTTGAAACCTGAGAACGGGACTAGGGCACTATCGAGGTTTGGTGAGATTTTCCTATATAAGAATCGACCAAAGAACTCCACATGTTATTGTAAATTCTTAACAAAGTTTGCTATTTAATCCAGAAAGGTTCGAGTATCTGTGAGCAGATACAGGTCTAGTATCTATGCTATCTGTTTAATAAAGCTCTGTTATGTCAGCTATAGCTGGCCAAACGGCTGGAAAGAATCCCACGGGCAACGCCGGGCACTACAGTTAGTCTGCGTCAAGGATTTAATGCAAGGAAAGTTATTTCAGAAGTGTACACATGTTTTGTACTGCAGTGCACTGTCACTAGGCGGTAATGTAAACACAAGACGGATGTCGAAGCCTGAAATGGGATCCATCTTTCACATAAATAATCAATGAAATATTGTGTGGAAACTATTATGTGAATTATCAAAATTCAATGCTTTTAAGCTCCTCGGATACTAGAGAAACATTGGTTTCAATAAGTACGCAGAGTTTACGCAACTGCAATTAACTTTCCTTACATTACATTCTTGGTCTGCGTATCGTTCTTTACAATTTCTCTAATAGCAGAAGCTGTTGAATGAATTAGAACCCGCCAAACTCAATCTTTTCCCGCCAAAATTTGTGTATAATCTAAGTATCTTCTACGTTAAATTATAGTTTCTTCAGGAAAAAATAGTAAACAGTATTAAGTAGAGTAGAATTTTAGCTTTGAAAATTTGCTTTTACTTCAAGCTTAGAATTATGGTTTAATGTTCAGTAACAAAAGCAAATGTTAAAAAATACAAGAGAGCAAGAAAAGTCGCAAAAGCAAACTAACAAGTCATAATTTTTTAAAATTTATTTTTGAAGTACTAAATACATAATATCCAATAAAATCATTTAGACATATAAAAAACTTTATAAGATTAATTATAATTTCAGATATATTATACTTTGAATTATTAAAATAAAATTTAATAACTATCACAATTAAGTAGTTAAATGATTTATGAAGAAAGTTAAGTTCAAATCTAAGCAGGGGCGTACGATGGGGTGGGCCGCCCCCCCCCCTACGCGTACTATGATCTGATAATGTTTATATCTGTCTGATATTAACAATATTCTGTACCAAGATCTGATAAAAGAACGTTAAAATACTAATATCTAATCTAAAATATGTTCTGGTACTAGTATCTGATCTAAACAACAATTTGGTACTAAGATCTGATCAAGGAACATTCTGGAACTAAGATCTGATCTAAAGAACATTCTGGAACTAAGATCTGATCTAAGGAACAATTTGGTACTAAGATCTGATCTAAGGAACATTCTGGAACTAAGATCTGATCTAAAGAACATCCTGGTTCTCAGATCTGCTCTAAACACTGCTTTGGAAACATTGAATATGTCTTCTCATCGTAGTTTTGAAGTCCTCTAAACAATCCTGAAAACAATTTATCATTTAAAAGCCATAAAATCATCCGGATTAACTGTAAACTCCGGTTCATTTCAATACAGTACCGACTATTTAGCAGCTAGAGTAAGCAGTACAGTACACATACGGACTAAATAAGGCAAACCGGGACGGTACCGGGTACACTAAATGAATCAGCACCTTCTAAGAAGATTTTAGTGGATTAACTGTAAAATAAAAATGTATCTTAAAATGCTAAACTAGGTTCTAAACTGGTAAGCGCTAAAATGGATTGACCCAGAAAAACGGTAATGCGCGCCACCTAGTGCCCGGTGTCCGCGCGTCTAAATCTCCGAAGTTTTGAACTGTGAACTGTATTACCATAGTATAATAAATCACGAGAAACCGAGCAGAGAATTCAGGTTCTTTATTCAACCAGAATACATTCTTTAGACTTAGAAAAACCTGGATTAAAGATTTATGAACCGAATGAGTAAAGTCGGGGTTTAGGATTTTAATCAATTCCTTTATGAAGTTTTCATTATTGTCTAACCCAAAATGAGGGTTTACAAAGTTGGAATTCGCAGAGCCACGCGCCACTTTCCCAAACAATGAAATTAATAATAATAACTTAATAAAACACAAATGATTGTCATCTTTCTTGTTTCTTTTGTAATTAATTTATCCTTATCTCTCCACAAACATGTCCATAGACCCCCNGTCTTAAAAAAATACTGAATTTATAACCCCCTTGGACTCTTTGCTGTGCAGGGGTGCAAAAAGAGTGCAATTAACCAACACCATCTTTTGGCTTGGAGTTTCTTCCTTGTCCTGGTTTTTCAGCCCGGACTAGGACATAACCCTGAGAGTCCCCTTTACATTTTGATCTCGTTTAAAATATTCAGAAAAATGTACGGTCGCAGAATTTGTTATCCCTGCAAAAACTATTGAATAATTTTCGAGTGTATAAGAAGCGACGCTGGCAAAATTAAAAAACTTGATTTATCCTGGAAAATATCAATCTACATACAAGAGTAATAGAACTAACCTGAACAAGTGTTATGTCCTTCTCCTTCTCTAGTTCCAGCAGAGGTCGAACTGCTTCCCGGAGAAAGGTTTGACTGGTCTGACCCATGAAAGGTTTAAGACTGAGTTCAATACAACGAATATCTATCCAGGCCTGAACACATCCATTGCTGTTCATCCTCTGGATACAGCAGAACAATCTGTTCAATTCCTCGCACACAGCTTCAACTAGTTTATCCATTACGCGCCTAACAAACTCTTTACCCATCCGAGACACCTCAGCGTGCACGCACACAGCATTGTGAAGAACTTCTTTGACGTAATTACGTGCACCAGCCGGTCTCACGCACTTTGCCCAGTCGAACTTTCCCATATACATGTTGGGTTCAATAATTGCTATAATAGGTTCGCACTTTAGTTCAATGTACGCATCAAACAGTTTCTGATCTAAAACTTCGTACATCCCTCGCGCTTCTTTAGAGATCTTTTCTAGGGTCAGTTGATCAATGTCTTTCAAACTCTTGAGTATTTTTGGCAGAACCCTGGTTCTAGTAAACTTACAGTTGTTTAAACAGAGAAGTAGACGTTTTGAGTCCGGGGGTATATCCGATTGGTTACTGTAGTAGTTCTCCGTAGCGGCGTTCTCCAGGGTGAATGCAAAGGCGCACATAACCTTCTGAAGCTGGAGCTCTGTGCCCGTCCTGGATGAGTTATGATCCAATATATCATCCTCACGGTTATCTATACAGAGTATTGATTCTTTAATCAGTCCTATGGATTCTAGGACTAAACCTTGATAGAGTTTGGGTAGATTAGTTACAGCTCCGTATTCATCACTTACGTCCTGGGACCAATCCTCTTTCTCATGGAGTATATACGTCTCCTCAACCACAGCATTTAGTAGATTAGTTAGACTAGATAATCTCAACTCCGTAGTTAGATTCTTGATAATATCTAGAACCTGGGACGGAAGATCTTGACTGATGAGGACTGAGTAAGCTGCTCTTACCTGCTGAAGACAGTGTGGTAACCAGGTGACTGCTTTATCCGCCTCCCGCCATACTCCGTAATCTTCACGGTTCGGTAGAGTCACAACAGGCAGGGCTGCAGCACGGATCAGATTACAGAAGAATGATATGGAAGATAAAATCATTTCTCTGAACACTGGTTGTTTCCCTGTATCAGGATCTATGTGAAGCTCATGTTTAAAGTACGCCTGTCCAAGTTTCCACAGCTCCGGAAACTCAATTCCAACCCTCTCCGTTATATCCTCGACGAAGAGGATATTCTGTGGAACCCGATCAGGATCCTCGGGAGGAGTAAACATGGCACGGATCTTCCCCGCCGGACTAGCGAACAGCGGCTGTCCGGTTGAGCGAGGAAGTAGGTTTCCGTCCTTCTCAAGATGCAAATTTTTACAGTTTTCCATGAGTTGGAATGTGAGCCTGTATCTGGTCTGAACAGATTCCCAGGCTGGATCACCATCTTTCTCTAGCTGAACCAGGGATCCTATTAATTTCTTCTGCTGCTCTATAGGCAGAACCTCCTGGCGAACCTTCCTGTACAGAACCTCCTTCATCTGCAGAACTCCTTGCTCCGCCTCGGTCAGGTAGGTTTGGAAGAGGGACTCTTCGCTGCTCCCGTACAGAGCCTTAGCTCTCTCGTACTCCTCGATCACTCGGTCATAATCCTCTCTGCTGAGGTGGGTCCGAATACTGGCCGGCAGATGGAACAGAAACTTAAATCTGTTCAGGACAGTTAGTGCGTTTCTAGTCTTATCAGCCTTGTCCTTCCGCCCCAGTACATCAAAAAACATTTTGTCTGCCTCCTCCTTGCATTTGGCGATTGCTGTCTCGACCTTAACTGTTGGATTTGGACCGTAGTCTCGTTGATCCAGTTCATAACGTTTTCGAATAGATCTCAGGGTGTCCATTTGATCCATGATAGAGTTGGTGTTCGCCTTGATGAATGAGAGCTGGTTCTGATTGTGTCCTGAAACCTTTCTCCGGAGATGCTCCGTCCCGGCCTTGAGATCATCAAATGTAGTTGCTTGATGATGCTCCAACAGGAAATATGCCGGATCAAACCTTTCAGATGCTATATCTCCAGAACCTTCGGGAAACATCTCCTGAAATTGAAAATTAAAAATACAAAACAATTTTCAGATATTTTGTCAGACCTGAATTATGTGGAAATGGGCTCAAGAATTCTTTATGAATTATGTGTTCAGAATTGTTTTATACCAGCGCTTAGGATCCATTTAATTTTGATGCGTATCCGGTTCCTGGATCCGCACTGGAAAAAATGGATCCAGATCCAAATCCGGATCCGGTTCCAGGTCATTTCTTTAAGATTTACTGAATTTTTTAACAAAAATAATTTTCAAATCTTTTGTTTATTTTTTTCGCATGTTTTTATCCTAAAACTTTATGAACCATGAAATTTTTATAATCTCTCTTATTTTCAAAAGTTCAGATTTTGGTTTTAGGAATAAAAAAGTTTTTTTTTGCAGTTTTTGATTGATATTATACCCCTTGGACCCGGATCCGTGGATTCGCATATTATTTGCGGCGGATCCAGGAAGCCAAAATCTTACGGATCGAACGGATCCGAATTCTAAGCACTGTTTTTCACTAACCATGAGTTGATCTTCTGGGAACTTTGTATCTCCTTCAACATCCAATCCTAGAGGATCCTCAACCTCCCCACCCACAGCAGCCACGCCTCCTTTCCTCCTAATTTAACAACAAAATGGAGATGAGAAATTTTTAAGTTTAAAGATAACTGTTAAAAAGTGTCCTTTCAAACAATGTATTTTTGGTGTTAATTAAGAAGTTAAGATATATATTTTAAGAATGAGTTACAATGCAAGCTTAAATTTTTACGATTTCTGGCTAAAATATGAAATATTAAATATTAAAGTTTGTATTGTAAATTATATCTGTTAAACTTGATAAACTCATATAAAGAAAATAACTGTTAATAAATGTTAAAGCTGTAAGCTGCATTAATTTGACGATGATCTAATGATAAAAAATTATTTTAGTAGCGAGTCAGTTAAAATAAGATTACTTATTAAAAATTGTTAAACCTTCTTGGATTATATTTTTCATCAATCCAGACTGCTGACTCCTTCAGTGGGCCAACATTCTCCTACGAATATAAATAATAATAGGACCAATATTCTCCTTCAGTGGCAGGCGAATAAATCAATACAATGAAGACGACTTTCGATTTCAATTTTGATTTGTATCATGCTGTTAAACAGCATGGATACATCTAAACATAGAAGTCACAAGAAGCTGTCAATTAAAAAAGCTTCTCTTTGATTCCTTGTAACTTCAAATTCGAAAAAAGCTTGTTAACAATCAAAACAAAAAAATCGCCTTCATTGTATGGATATAATAAACTACCACTATATGAAAATTAGCAATAGAACCTAAATTCTAATAATAAGTTTTTAACAATGATTTAATATTTTTCTTGAATTTTATTTTTCCCAAAATAATAGGAAAGTTTGGTCGGAATGGAAGATTTTTTTTTTGCAGATTTCGAGAAAATAATAAAAAATCTGTGACGGTAATATTAAAAATCCACNCAGTGTTAATTATTGCAATATAAATATTATATACCCCTTAAACTGAAAAGTATATTAACCTTGAATATCCTGAATTGTACAGAAGATGTTCCGACTCCTCCTGATCTTGTTGCTATAATAATATCTCCTCGTCCTTCACTATACAAATAACATCAATCAATCAATCACCAAATCTTAATCAACCAATCAATTAAATAAATGGTTGATCTAACATGTCTAACTTTGTATCGCTACGTTGCTTATTATTTGGTCAAAACATTATAACGGGACAAATTTTTTTGTTTTGTTTTCATAAAAAATTCCCCAAAAAGTCTTCACCTGGCGGGTGCAAGAGCAACAATTTTACTTGGGCTCTTCCAATCCGAGATGAGTAAACAGTCTGCTCCGTTGATGAAAACTCCAATCAAATCCTGCGGCGAGATTCCCAGATTCTCTCCTCGTATCGTTATCTTAGTTCCAGGAGTTCCCTCACGTGGCGATACACCGGAAACGGAGGGTTTCGGCGCCATTTTGTTTAATTCATCTGAAATTTTAGTTTAACAAAATACATTCAGGATAAGATCATTTACAAATGTGTATTCATAAAAAAAACTAGGCTTAAATCCGGATTAAAGACTTTTAACGGATTTAAATCTTTTAAAAACTATAAAAGCTTGAAGCTTCATGAAGGAATTTTTAAAACACATTTGTACTTTTTGTAAAAAAAGAGTTGAACTTCAATCAAATTTAAAAACAATTATTTGTGTTGATCTGTTCTTTATTGACATATATACATAAACTCCTGTATCGGAGGAGAATATTTCATGAGAACTTTCAACAAACAGAAAACAGGAGAATACTGGAGGCATTACATCGGTCTCCCGTACATAATCGGAGGCCGAGGACCTGGAGGCTGACCTCCTCCACCCATCCTCAGCTGGGCGTTCTGGTCGAGCAGGAACTCGTTTGTTGCAAGAAGATCAGATACTTTCTTTTCTAGTTCACATATTCGTCCTTTTAACTGGCAATTCTCCTCCTGCAGACAAAAACACGGGTTTTTATTTTAATACAACAATCATCAAAAATAATCTCTGACGAGTAAACAAAGTAAAAAAAGCTTATAAGTTCACTGACAATTAGATAACCCAGCACCTCAATTTAGAATTCTCTCACCAAGCTAGTAACATTTCTGTGAGTCTACCGTGTTCCCCAATCAAAATGTTAGGCAAATCGTAAGAATAGTTTGTAAGTTGTAAGTCTTCTGCGTGGATTTATACCCTTCAGGAAAATATTTTCTTCTCTTTTGAAATATAAGTTTATCGTACTAATTGTTTTTTTCTTTAAAAAAATCAGGGCAAATTAAAAAATAAAATCAATTTCTGTATTGTATATCTGCAATCTCCATCCCCCGAATATCATTTTAAATGAACACTGAACAGTGAGGGGACAGTGACAACCTACCTCTAACATCATAAATGCTTGTGGCGGAGGCCCGATTTCAAATCCCCCGCCCGTCTCCATCATTCTCCGTTTCATCGGACCCCGCCGGTCTCCCATATCTGCCTCCTCGAAGAATGTTTGGAGAAGGTTCTGTGCGGGAGGGAAAGATGACGCCATCTCCATATCATATTCTCTAGAGTTCAGATGGCGGAATTTACACCGGGATTTGCGTCGACAGTTGCCTTTAAGATAGTCCTTGCAGACCGGTATTCCGCCGCTCACCGCCGGTAAATCTGCCGCCACACCTTTGGTTATTATTTGATCTCTCACTAATGGCGGAAGGTAGCCTGCAAAAACTATTTATAACACAAGAGACCAAATATAAAGAGTGGCGGGTAGTCGTTGAACCGTGTGACAATATACATGTTTAAAGTTAAACACTTAAACTGGTGCAAAACAGAAGTGGTTTAACAACTTCTGACACTATTCATTTAAGTCCCAGGATTTTGCAAATTCCACACATTAATATAAACGTAATATTGTAATGATATATTGGGCATTGTGGGGAAAACAAAACAAAAAGTTCTTAGCTATCGTTTCTAGAATAAAATTTATGCTATCGTTTCATGACTTCAGTGATTCAATATTCTTCAAATGAGTGAGCTATGTTTTTAAAAATTTTTTTAACTTGTCTGTTCAAGTTTTATTTGTTCTGACATTTTGCCCTTGAAAAATTCCTGGTTGTAAAGTTACAATTTTTCTTGTTTTTGCTTTAATATTTTATATATTCTTTGTCTAAAATTAATTTTTTTGGCTTAAATTTGTAATGTTACGGGACGAACTCCTGATGATGCCGGCGAAATATATTGAGAAATTGAGAGAGAGAGAGTAGGGTTGGGTTTTCTTTAAAAACTATCTGAAGTATCGATTCTCAGATCAAAGTTTAAATGTAAGTATCGTGAATCGTTGTTATAGCTATTTATTTAATTTAATAATTGCGTTATAGTTAATTATAATTAATAGATACTTACGGTTAGTGTGTGACTGTCCTGAAGCTAGATATTCAGCTTCTGAATCTTTACTACAGTGGATAAACTTGCAATTAGATCTGGCGCAACGATTGTTCTGGAAGTCGTGGCAGAACATCACCTTTACATACAATATATAAATTAGATTTAAATTTGGTGATGGTGATGGACCAAACCTCTATAGAGTAAATAAAGTAGATGTTAGGTCCGCATTTTATTCAAAATATATTTCGGTCTGGGTTCACCCTCGTCAGTGCTTGAGATTGTTTCTGTCATGAAGATTAAAAACAAACTTAGATTAAAGGGAAAAACAATATTATTTCTAATTAGAAGTTGGAGTAAATCTTGCATTGGATCCGCAACATATTTTAACTCTATGGAACCGTATCCTACAAAAATATGCGGATTCACGATCAGATGCCAAGAGGCATAATATCAATCAAAGTCTTCTAAAAAAGATAAATTTTACTTTCAAAACACAAATTTAAATTGTTAGCGATTAAACGAATAATAATTACTTTCCAATCTCTGAAGGGCTCATTAAGTTTCAAAGATATTTTTGAACATTTTTCATTTGCTCAAACAGAAATGAAGAAATGTTCAGGACTGGATCCGGATCCATTTTTTCAGGGAATCAAAATGAATTGGATCCTAAGCACTAATATCTTATACTCCAGGTGATGTTTATTCATTTAATAAAGTTGAGATTTTTTTATTTTTATTTTTAAGATTTCAGACAAATTTGAATCAAGTAATTTTCTTCAATTGTTTTACAATCTTTCCTTGTTATAAAAAAATAAAACCTTTATAATTTGATATTTTACGTACAATGCACAGTTTAAGAACGTGTAGTGCAGTGTAAGCACGTATATTGTACACTGTAAGTGAACAGTGTACAATGCATGAACGTTTACAAAATACTCTGACGCATAAGGAAAACTCTAGAACCAGTTTTTACTATAAACAAACAAAATTTAGGAGACAATATTGGGATTTGGGAAGATCGAAAAAAAAAGACAAGAAGAGAAGAATTAGTGTGAAATTAAAAAAAATGAGTTGATGGGACTGTTTCAAACTATAGGGGTGCTTTGGAGGGGCCCTGGGATCCCCCTAGGGAAGAGAGGGTTCAGGGGCCCTGGGATCCCCCTAGCCTAGGGAAGAGAGGGTTCAGGGGCCCTGGGATTCTTAAGTACTTTTACCCGTGGGAAATATAAACAAAAAGTAACAAAATCTATTAAGGGGAAAAAATGTTGAAATTTTTTTTATCTTGCATGAAAAAAATGTAATAAACATCGATTGCTTGATAATCGTTTATTTCTTCGCGCCTCCTTGAACGTCTACCGGTGTCCCGAGTTGTCCAAATACGTCAATATAATATGTAAACATAACGTAACTCGGATTGTTTTTTATTTCTTGATTTCAAACTAACCTTATCTTGTAATCCTGAAGGTTCAGCCTTTGCTTGTTCAGGACCACTGGACAACATTAACAAAACTTATTTCACTTTATTTTTAGCATCTACAGGAGGAACATTTTCTATTTTTAGCATCTACAGGAGGAACATTTTCTATTTTTAGGATCTACAGGAGGAACATTTTCTCGTTTGAAATAATAGATTCAACGTTGTCATTTTTAGCACGTACATAATTTCAGAGGTGAATTTTAGGAGTAATCATATATAAAAAAGGATTAAATAAGAGAAAAAAAAAAGATTCGAGGTTTTGTTTTAACAAAAAGCTTTCTTGTATTAGAACACGCAATTCGGCATACATAATTACCTCCATCATTGAAAGACAACCCATCAATAATATGTTAATTTTGATAAATTTTGTTTAAGTTTATTAATATTTTAAGTTTTGATTTATTTCCTTTCTGGGTGTTTAAATATGCATTTCTGGCCTCGATTGCAAACATTTCGCATAAAATCGCGACAAATATCGTCTGGTATTTCTCTCGTGAAACTGGAATCTCCCTCCTCGGCCATTCTCTCTGAAACAGGATGGAGTCTAGGATACAATTCTGAGATTTTAGTGAAGAGGGTGGACAAAATATTTTGATTTAGCAAACTGTTCAGAGTCTAAAAATATTTTTCATCAATAATAAAAACAAAAAACCGAACATATAGTTTAAGATAATTACTAATCCGACCTTAAGTACAGATTTAAAAAGAAACCTGAACTTGAAGTTTAAGATTATACTAATCCGGACTTAAGTACAGTTTAAAAAGATTATAAATTAGATAGCTGTTAGATCTGTTCAATTAGATTGATTTAAAATTTAGGAAAGAAGGATATTTTCAACATGTTGACTCATAACAGAGATATTTAGATAACCCAGATTCATCTTCGAACAGATCTATTTCTTCTTTAAACTTCCGAAGGCTGGGATAACTTTAGCTAGGGCAGGGTTTACTCCTACTCCAGGTCCACTCTGAAACACAAAACAATATTAGACTTAGAATTATATCAATACAGGAGAGTATATTTTTAAGAATACCCCCTCAAGCAGTGATAAGAAAAAAATGCAACCTAATTTATCATGTGAGGTATCAATCAAATCATAGCTAGGTTTCTTGGTGTTCTGAATCCAGTATTGGAATCCCTTTTTCAGTCCGAGTGTTCAAATATTAATGACCTCCGGAGGTCAAATTATACTTTTCTTTAAAATTTAGAATCAATTAAAATGGGGCATGTTAGGAATCAAATCGTAGGTTTTTTTTACTGTTCTGATTTCATTCCAAGCCCCTATTTGACCTTAAAATGATCCTGAAGGTCGTTGACCTTAATATAGATTTGACCACAGGAGGGCAAAATCGAAAACCAAGAAAAGGTATCAAATTATCGTTTTGTTTTGGTGTTCTCAATCCAGTATTGGAATCCTTTATTAAAGTCTGGGTGTTCCAAATGTCATTGACCTCCAAATATCAATGACTTCTGGAGGTCAAAATTTAGAATCACTGAAAATGGGTCTGATACTCAATTGTTGTTAACAAAATTATAATTTAAATTATTTAGGCAACCTGTTGGGTATTTGATGTGGTTACACAAGCAACGAGATTTACCAGTAACTTTAAAATCTTATTTTCAAATGAAATTGGTCTAAATTTACTGCACAATTGTTGTGCTTCATGTTCATTAAACTATCTAGAAACAGAACTCGAGTCTTACAGTCGTCTTCTTATTGTATGGGTCCCACTGTACCTATCATTATTTTGTTAAAAAAATTTATTATAAAAGTAAACCTATTATTTTTTTCCTAAAAACAATTATATTTTTTCGGCAAAGATATTTCTCGTATCCTTGTTGGACTGGTAGTAAAATTTAACAAATAAAAATTTTACAATTTGAAGATTATTGTTTACCGAAGCTTGATCCCATTTAGATTTTCTCTGCTGTAGTGTATTCAAAGCATCTTTTATTTTGGCATCTCCCATTTTCTTCTTCGCTTCGGCAGCCTAGACAAACAGTCATTTAGTTTTCTAGAAAATATTAAAACAAAAAAATGTTTTTGTTGTTGTTGTGAATTTCCTGATTTTAAATTAATCGACATTGTCGATCGATTGATTTAATTGATTAAGTCATAATTTTATGCTCTTAAACTTGCCAAAAGACAGGTTTTTAGCTAAGGGAGAAACCGGTGGGACTAATGCTATTATACTTGCACTCCGCTAAATGCTTCAATTGGGCGATATTTTCCACAGAGTAAGGGCATTTAAAGGAGCACATACTGATACTATTGTACATGCATTGACACCTACAAAACTCTAAAGCATGGGCAAAACCTTTTGTTAGACCATATCGATTGTTTGGATCCAATAAACACCGAGACGGTATAATCGATTAGGTGAGGTCTTAAATAAACCTTAAATTAAGTTTAATCTGCCATCCTCGGGTTATCTCTTCTCTTTTCACAAAAAAATAAAAACGACGAATTTTACGGAAGTACTGACCGTAACAAATAAGAACGTTCTTCTTGATTGATTAAATTAATTATCACCTTTTCTCTCTTGTCCATTTCAGCTCTCTGACTCTTAGACAGTTCGTCGTAGTAGGATTCTTTTCCAAACAGATGACCGTCATATAACTCAGGAGGGAAGTTTGTGCCTAAAACATCGTTTACATCTTATATATCAAGTAGTAATCTTTGTTTAGATGTCCGATCATAACTCTTGAACCCCTAGACCGTTTTGCTTCAAATTTTGAAACTTGGTAGAACGATGGGAATGTTCTTAGCTTGGTTCAAGAATTCTAACTTGAGTAGATCGACGTTTGTAAAAATATTAATTCCAGACAAAGCTGGGTTCCTATCTAGTATTAATTATGTATAATGTATATCATATTCCAAACCAAATAATAAAACAGTTTTAAGTTGGGTTCCTAATACTCTGAAAAGTTAAACTAACCCAGTCGTCAAATGTTTAGGATTCTATTCTTCATAACCCCCTTTTTTAACAGAAAGATAATTGTTAAATTTAAGTTCAATTAACATGAAACACAGTAATTATTCTGCGTACCCAGACCAATTTTACGTAATAAGGTGAATCTCAACCTGCTGGTTAAACTATGCTTTATATCAACATGAAATACACATGTCGTCTTCCTATTCCAGAGTTCCATATGGGTGACTGTATGCAAATGAATTAAGAAAATAAAAAATGGTATAAATCCACTTATATTTATATTTGGGATAATTAAGAGGACCTGGACAAGGAAAAAATGGGTTTATTACCTAATTCGTCAATGTTGAGATGAAGAATAAGTTTCTCGTAAATGCTCGGATTTCTAAAAGCTTTCTTATTTTGAATCATAAAATTTAAATCTGTTTTCTCTTCAATTTTTCTCTTCCACATTTTTTCAATCTTCTCCTAAAATGTATTTCATCAAAAAATGTTTTCATTTTCTCTTATTTTTTTTCTTTAGAAAAGTTTACAACTATAATGAAAATTGAACTGCCAAGTTTATTACACGTAAGTTTCAATTTGACCCTAAAAAAAAGGAGTCCACCTACATTTATAATTTTTAATTATACTTTCAACGCAAAAAAAGTATCTAATCACTTGCTACAAACTTGATTCTCTTAAAATAAACATACCTGTTAACACAACAAACAAAGAACTAAGGATTCTAAAAACCTTTTTTACTAGTCGATTTTTTGGGATATGTTAGGTAGATCTACTACGATATCTATTTGATTTGATTTCGAACTTTGATTTTACATTTACTATTCAAAACGTTTAGAACAAGAGTGCATGACATACGAAGAAATCAAAATGTTATAAAGATGTTTTTCCTTTTTGATTACTGGATTTAACTTTGTCATGAGCCCAGACCGCCATCATATAGAGAGGGGGGGGAGGGAGGGGAAGATACAAAAGAAGAGGTTTTATATCAGGGCAGGGGATATAACATTTAGTTAAAGAAGAATACAAGAAGGGGACGGAGGAAATGTTAAATTTTCTGCTGAGGGGCAATGCATCCTTGAATATAACAGTCACACACTTCAGCCTTGTATTTTAGATTTGGATCTGGTAACCTGAAGGAGATGGAATGTTATCCTGTTAGGGAACTAGCTAGGTCATGTACTAGGTAGGTGTTCATTAAGTATTTCAATGAAATGAATGTTTATGACAAAGTTACATAATAAAATTAATATTCTTTCCAAATTGTAAAATTTGCAAGGCCTCAGTGCATTGACCAGAAATCTAACCTACCCAAAATCTCAATCCTAATTATAGGAAATAGACAAGGGAACGTTTGATTCAGAAAATGACAAAGTATCCTCAATAATGGTTATTTCACTTTTATTAGGACAATCTGCTGCTTGGAACATCCTGCCTTCTTTGCCTTTGATTCCACGAGATCCTTACTTTTTATCTCCGAACCTAAAAGAAATAGGATTGGTATCTACGATGCTAATACATTCGTGTTCAAATCCTGGTTAACCTGTCCTGATTACACGCTAAGGAATCCTAGAAATATAGTGGTTGCAGGTAGTTCATACAGATTGCTTCTCTGCAGAAAGTCGTTGATCTTAATTTGGGATTTTGGGAACCCAGCTTTGCCCAAGGTATTCATAGTCACTCCCGCACTCCAATCAAAACGAAGCTAAGAACATTCCCATGGCTACCCCGAGTTTTCAAACAAAAAAATCTATTTGACAAAAGATAATTATTGTCAATACCATGGAGTTGAGAATGTAATTTAGTTTATCCTGTGTCATTTTAAAGAGGAAATTTTTCAAATCCATAGTTTGGATAGTTTTTTGTTTAATTTATGCGAAGTGATTTGCAAAAACCAATCTGAAATGCTAAAAATTTATATAAAACTTAAAATGATGTGAAAAAAATTGACAATGGTCATCAAAATAATGTTTTTTAGACTCAAGGACAATAAATGTTTAGGGAACTACTTAGTGATTCTACAAAGTAACGGCATCATTATATTCCTGATCGATGAGAAGGCATATTCACGAGCAATTTCCTTTCAATTCATTCCAGGATGTTTCAGGTATTCTTTTCTTTTTCAAAGCAGAATCACACCTCTGCCTTCGATAAGCTTGCTCTCAAGTCAGAACTTTAAAATGTGATCAAGCATATTGATCTTCATCTTAGACTTGCTAATTATTGAATTCCTCCTGGATATCCCTTGGTGGTCATACCCTGCTGGGATAACAAATGAAGGGATCAAGCCATTTAAAGTGCCCACATTGGATATCGAGATCAAGAGTTCAAGACTAAAGATACTTTAAACAAAAGTTTCTATCTCTCAAGAAAAATAAGCAAGTATAATTAGTTATTATTTCAGTGGATTGTGCTGGGTTGAGGCGACACATGAGCTAGCTTCTGTTAAAAGTGGAAACGAACAGTGTGAACAAACTATCAGGTAGAAACATGCCATAATTATAGATTTATAGTTATGGTTACAGACTTTTATGTAGAGTTAAAAATGGGGGATAGAATTTAAAAGCTCTTTGGAAAAGTTAAAGACGAGACTCCAGCCTGTATTTAAGCTTTTTTAACCTTTTTGTTTTAATACTTAAACACCCAACAATAAACAATAAATTCTTTCCTTCCTTGAACAATAAAAGTCTGGCTAAAATCTTTATTTAGCATCCTGGCAAAATCTTCACATTTTAACCGTTTCAGGAGATACAGGAAAGATCTGGCGAACTCTTTCATTTATGTTGGTTCTATTGAGATACACAACAAGAGGTAGCCAATACTTTTTTATGAACTGTTGTTTGTCTCTTACAGAAAACGGAATTGAAATAGGGTCAACATTGAGTTTGCTAGTTTGCAACAGACCCCACTCTAATGGGGAATGACCTGATTTTCTGTCTTCATCAGAAAGTCCTGCATCAGGATCTTGGTAGGAGACAAGAGAATGTTTCTTTGGAGTTGATCTTCCAGAGTTTCCACTCCCAGGAGTACCCATCCCACCCTCTACCTTCAACCTGAACATGATGAGTAAAAAACAACCCTGGATTAGTGCTATTTTACACAAAACTAAATTTGTTTACAGGGCTGTTAGCTTCAAAAATTTTAAATAATAAGCAAAAATATTTTCTGGTACACTGAAAAAAAATTAGCAAATTTTCTTTTTTTGTAGAAAATGATTTTTACTTATGATTAGAAAAGATTTTTTCTTAGGATTGTCAAATGTTTTTTCTTCTGATTGTTAAATGTTTTTTCTTCCGATTGGCATTTTTTTTTCTTATGATCGGCAAATATTTCTTCTTATGATCGGCAAATGTATTTTATTCCGATTGTCAAATGTTTTTTCTTACGATTGACAATTTTTCTTCTGATCGGCAAATGTTTTTCTTACGATTGACAATTTTTCTTTATGATCGGCAAATGTTTTATCTTCTGATTGTCAAATGTTTTATCTTCTGATTGTCAAATGTTTTATCTTCTGATTGTCAAATGTTTCTTCTTCTGATTGGCAAATGTTTTATCTTCTGATTGTCAAATGTTTTATCTTCTGATTGTCAAATGTTTCTTCTTCTGATTGGCAAATGTTTTATCTTATGATTGGCAAATGTTTTTTCTTATGATTGGCAAATGTTTTTTCTTATGATTGGCAAATGTTTTTTCTTCCGATTATCAAATGTTTTTTCTTTTCTGTTCCAAAATCTTAAATGTTGGTGCAAATCTGCACCAAACCTTGGGAAATAAAACTTTAAAAACGTAAATACAGTTTACAAATTAAGAATTAAATTTTAAATAACAAAATAGTTTAAATGAAGTTTCATTTTGCTATCGTTGCGAGAGTTGGTAAGATTTGGAGTAGATGTGTTAGTGTTTTTTTAGACAACTGTGTTCTAGAAACTTTGGAAAATCGATACATATATATAAAGTAGTAATCTCCGTTTGTTTGTATGTAAGATCATTTTTAATGAACACCTTGACCGGTTTGGTTACGAGATTTTAAGTTGAGTGGGTAAAATAGGGGAAAATAAGAGAAAATCGTAATTTAAGACCAAGCGCGGTTCCAAAGATAGTAATAGAATTAACATTTTCTATTCGTTCAAATGATAATTTAAAAAATATTTCTTACATTAAATCGAAATTTACGAAAAATTCTACCTCTCCGCTAATCCTGGAGCTAATTCAAGCTGTTCATCCTCTTCAGATCTAGAAATGTAAAATATGCAATATTTTGATTTAACATAAAGCTCTAGCCTCTCTCTGAACTTTGCATATAAATTATACAGTCATAAACAGAAAGACCCAGAATTAATTTACAAATAATCAGACGACTTTACAATCTAATTTTACAAATATGATTAATGAAACGATTTCACAAAATAGCCCTAGTCCTGCCATTTTAATTGTGTGGGGTGTCTTTTATGAGCATTTAAATAACCAGAGATATATATTTTAAATAGTCTGATTAATTGTCAGTTAATTCCGGGTCTTTCTAATTCTAATTTTTGGCAAAATTGCATTAAACTGGATAAAATCATGGCGGAATTCTAACTTCAGAAGGATAAATTGTTAGAACAGGATTCCTACCCTTTCTCCTCCTCTCCCTCTGAGTCTGTATATGTAGCTGTCAACGAGTCTAGAGCTGATGCCATTTTATTCTGCAATTAAACATCAGGATACAAAACACAAGAAAAACAGAAAAAATTATACAGAATCAGGTGAGATTGCTCATAACAATCTCAGATTAAGAGTTAAAGATGAATATATTTTACAGAATAAATGCTGAGATTGGCTCAGACGGCGGCAAATCTGGCCGCTCTTGCTTTGATCTTCTCATCCAGGAGAACAGAGTTCACACCGGCATTCAGATTTATCTTCTTAGGCTAAAACAAAATATTTTACGTTTTTTTTTAAAAAATCTTAGAAGATGTAGATTGTGTTGAATTGCTTTATAAAATATAATTTCTAACTAATTCTTAAACTCGCGGATAAAAACCCCAACAAGATTTCAGATTTAAATCAGGAAAGCAAAAAACTGAAACATTTGGAAAATAAGCAGTAGCTTTTATTGTCTTGTCTTGTCTTTTTAAAAGCTAAAATTTGCTTGATCAGCATAAAAAATCAAATTGGATCTAAAGTTCTTATTTACAATTAAGAATAATTGTGATACTTTTTTAGTCGATCCTGGCGGGGACAGGTTTTAAAGCTAACCTTGGGTTCGTCTTTGGCCACTACTCCGAACCTATCCTGTCTCCTCTTGATAGCTTCAGACACCTCAGCTTCTTTTACTAGTGGAGAAACAGCAGCTCCAAACCTTCAAGTATAGACGATAATAATTAGTTTATATCATGATTTATTCATTTTGAAACCATGATTATTGAATATATATTTTCTTCATCACCCAGGGGGAAAGCAAACAAACAAACAAAAGACAAACACCCAGACAGGGGTAAATATTTTCTTGATAAATTATAAATCTTTATCACCCTTGGGTTAATCGGGATCAAGAATATTTTATTTATTTATTTTTATTTCACCTCTCAGCTCTTTTCTTGAGAAGGTCTATATCAACAGCAGGTGCGGCTCCGATCTTTTTACTCGTCTCATTCCCTTTCATCTCCGTCATCATATCGGAGAAACGAGCAGCGCGAGCAGCCTTCTTCGCCTCATCAGACTGGAACCCACCAAACCTCTCCGCCCTGGCCTTGATCTTCTCCGCCGGGTCCTCCTCCTTCTCCGCCACAACCTTCACCTTTTCCGGGGAGATCTTGTTTTCCTTCTCCTAAACCGAGGATATCCGTTTCATACATGCAGATAAAATGGAGGCTAGTATTATTAGAAAAACCAGCAATGTGAAACTATAAGAAAAACTTTTGCGATCGCAAAAAATAGCTGTTAAAGAAAAATGACTTGGACCTTCATATTTTTATTGAGAAACTAGAAATATTAATAGGCGACATAAAAAATGAGGTTATTCCTGTTATAAACAAACTGAAACATTAAAAGCATTAGTTCGGCTTGGATAATCTTTTCCTCTGAAACTTCTGTTTTTTCTTCGGTAGTTTCCTCCGAAAGACTAGTTTCTCCTTGAACCTGTAATTCTTTCTCAGCTTCTTTAATAGCTTCCTCTGTCATTTCTTCATCTTCCTGAAATAAAAAAATTTATGAAATTTTTGAAAACAAAATAGTTTTCATAGCATCAAATGTAACTCTCCAAATTTTCTGTATAATATTTTCAACGCTAAAGATATTTAGTAGACCAAGATGTTTCGAGGGTCAGAATGCTAAATATTCTTAAAAACGATTCAATTGTTAATTTTGCGAACTTTATAGATTTCTTGGAACATTATGGTCTCAGGGACACTGGGACAGCTAAGACAAATTAGTAGTTTCGATAGTATTTTCAAAAGCGTGAGCAATCCTTTTAAGGGGTAGGGGAAGGGGGTTCAAACCTGATCCAGATCATCATCATTCTCATCCAACAGAGAGGTTCCTTCTGCAGCCTGTAGTCTTTCAATCAACTCCTGCTTGTTACCAGTCGTAGGTAACCCCTCAAATAAAATAAAACTTAAAGATTTAGAAAAACATTACAATTAAGACTAAAAGCTGATGTTAAGAAAATTTTCAAACTAATTTCTTAATTTTTGTGTTTAAACACAAAAATTCTGCACAACTAACAAGTGACTATATTTCCAAATAGATATATTTATCGCTACAAACACGTTATCTTAATTCCATATTTTATTTATTCACCATGGTACAATAATTTATTCACCATGGTACAATGATTTATTTAAGGTTACTTTATTGATGCTTCTCAATATAGTTTTATCCCTTTACGTTAGGAATTACTTTTGGTTTAGTTAGAACACAGGGGGGTGTTATTCCAAAAAAAGTTTTACATTTAAGATTAAAATAATAACGTTTATAATTAATGTTTACTAAAAGATACATATAAACTTACAGATTTCTTCAATTCCTTCTTGAGATCAGCAATTTTCATTGAAGCGAAATCGGACATATTTGGCTTGGAAGGTCTGAAAACACAATCTATCAAGATATATTACATGATAAAATAGAAAGCTATCTCCACAAATAATGTTATTGTTACTTTAATCTAACAAACCTGAAACTGATCCTTCCATGAAGTTAACACAATTGAATTTGAAGAAGAAAGTTTACTTTGGTACTTAAAATTTTCTTACAACGGCGTGACATTGTAAATCGTCCAGGGTTATATAACGCCTGGGTAATGTGATACTTCTTAATGATTTGGACAATTGGGTCTGTCTGACTAGAGAACGATTTTTAGACCCCCCCCCCCCTCATACCAATTTTCTATATAACCATTTTTTATATCTAATTAATTATTATTATTTATATTTGATTATTTTAGAGTTAGGTTAAGACAGTTTCTGGGCCGAGCGCTGCGGCTAAGACAGGCTAGGGAGTCGAGCGCTACGGCTAGGAAAGGATAGGGTGCCGAGAGTCGCGGCTAGAGAGCCTAGCGCTGCAGCTAGGACAAGCTGGGGGGCCGGGCGCTGCGGCCACATCCATGTGTTACATATGAGATCCATGTACAAAATTGATACTCCGGGGTCGCGTCTCCTACAGACGATTTGTCGCCCACAACAAAAAATTAATAAATACATTAATAAATACCTGCTGAACATCAATATAGTTAAATAAGTTTTTAAATATACCATTACTGGAAAATATGATTATAAACATTATTCCGACTAGAATGAAAGCACTTTCCTGGATAATGATTTTGAATGATATAAGAAACAACTCAGTTGTCTCACGCCCGGACGCTCGTTAACGTGAAACCGGTCTTCTTTAATTTATATCTAAAAGGGGGAGGTGCTGACCGAAAATTTATTTGATCAAATTTAATAGTCTTGATTTTTTTTTGACTGAGAGAAAGATCACAATTTTTAATTTATAATATGAAAGCCGATCTTATGCTTACATTTTAAGAAACTTAAACTTAGTATTCTTAAAACGTTTAAAGAAAGAATCGGCAAATACGATCAGATCTGATCAGAACATGGTTCATAACTACAACTATATCTGGTGGGGTTTGGATTATTAAAAAAAAAATGTTTTCTTCATCAGTAACACTGGAAAGGATCGAAAATATAGAGGTAACTTTATAGTTGTGCTGTAAGTGTAATCCTAGTCAGTAGTCCAAAACAAGCCGTATTTTCAGGACTCAGGTTAGCGCACAAACTCAATAAATGCCGCAATTGAAAATATAGGCCGTTCTAATAAAGGATTTACACCAGTGTAAACTGTCATTTACACTGGTGTTTACCTAGGATCGGATTTAATAGTCATGAATTACACTGACATATATATAAATGCAAAAAAGTGTAAAAAGGAGTACATTTTTGGATTGTTTTTTTGTTTAATTTTTTGAGCCACTAAAACACTATGCAAACTTTTTTTCAGTGACAACCGGAAAAAGAAATAAAATTAAAAGTTATGAACGACCCTTCTAGAATATGTACGCAATAATCGTCTTGATTTGCAACGGAAGTAACTGCTTCAGCTGACGCAGATAGTAGATGGACAAAAATAGTTGCACCACGTGGTGATACTGAGAGTATGTCGTGATATTACGCTGATAAATGTGGTTATTGTGATTGTTTAAGTGTATAATATTAATTATGAATTAAGTCGGAAGTTTATTGCCATTTTCTCCTGAAATGACAGTGTTTGTTAAACTGTTCATCTACAAGAAAACTATATTACATCATTTCAGAAATATTGTTTTGTTTTGTGTGTCATCAAGATATTTGTGCATGTTGTTAAAAGTTATTCTAAACTGGAATGAATTCAGGTGATTTATACATTTTCTTTCGAGGTTTTATCTTTTACTAGAGACCGTAGTAAACAAGTTCTTAATTACAATTTTGGGTCTGTCCTAGTGAACGGTTTTTGTACCCCCCGCCCCCCAGGCCCCCCTTCTATCAATTTTGTATATGACTTAATTAAAATTAGTATTAGACATGTGGCCGCATTGCTCAGCTCCCTAGCCTGTCCTTAGCCGCTGCGCTCAGCCCAGACCTAACCTCACCTTAAAATAATACAAAAAAAAACTTAAAACTAAAGGTCGTGCACAAAATTGATAGGAGGGGGGGGGGCAAAAATCGTTCTCTAGGACAGACCCGGATCGGACTAACTTACATTCGTACTAACGTTCATTCGCATTATAGTGTGAATGAACAATTAATTGTGAAAGCAAACTAAAATTCGTGTGTAATAAACAATAAATGTTCAATTGTACTGAAGCTAAAAGTGCGAGTTAAGACGAAGTACGTCCAAATGTTCTTTAGTGCAAATGGACTAAATAAGCTTAATCTAACCAAAATCTGAATTTTCACCAATTTGGACTTTTACCCTAATTAGTTAAAATAAATAAATCTATTGCAAATGAATAAAAACATGTTCAATCAAACTAATAAACTTCACCATTTGAACATTTACTCTAACATATTTTAGTGCAAATGATCAAAATAAAAATGTTTAATCTAACTAATTTTAAATTCACCTTTTTGGTCCATGAATTTTAATTAGTGAAAGTAAACTTACTAACAATTTAACAAAAAAAACTTTTCAATTAAACTAAAATCTAAAATTTCACCATTTTGCACATTTACCCTAGTTAGTAAAGATGAAAATATTTAGTGTATCTAAAAAATGTTTATTTGGACCAAAAATTTAGATTTGCCCGCAAATTATGATTATTTAATGAAGAAAAACATTAGCCCGTTTGAACATTTTTTTGCTGGATATGTTTATTTGCAATTGTGTTCATTGCACTAATATTTACAGAAATAAAAACATTAGTCCGTTTGAACAATTTTTTTGTGAGCAATGTTCATTTGCACAGACGTTTAATTAAACCAATGTTCAATGTAAAAGAAACCGTAGTCCGTTTGGAAAATTAATTTGATGGAAATTTACATTTGAACTTTTGTCCAATTACACTTATATTTACTTAAAAACAGTCCGTTAAAGCAAATTTTTTTGTGAGCCAAGTTAATTTTTACCAAAGTTCAATTGCACTTATCATTACAGTAAAAAATTAGTTCGTTTGAACCAATATTTTAAGTATTCCAGATCAATTCCACCATAAATTATTTGTACTTCATATTCCTGGCGGGGATATAAAATATTTCTGGCGGGAAAATAAAATGTTAGTCCAATGGATCACAGTAAAGGTCGATTTGTGTTCATTTTCACTCATGTTCAATCGAAATACAAGCCTGATTATGATTAGCAGACTTTATTGCAAATGTACGTAAGTTCAATCGGACATTTAGTGCGGAAGAATAAGATATAGCATCTTCATTAGTCATACAGTTGTTTTGTTGTATATCAATACTATGAAGACTACTATCTATTTCAATTTGGATTCTAACAAGCTTTTAAACAACAAAGAGAAACATTTGATTTAAATAAAGAGAAGTTTCTCTTTGTTTTCTCGTATACTTTAATCTAAATATACTTAAATGATAAATTATTAAAGTCGTATATTTTGTATTGATATAATCGCCGACCACTTTAAGATAATTATTTTATTAATCTTTAAAACTGTTCTAACTCTGAAGTTTTTTTTACGATCAAAATAGTCGTCTAAAATATTTAATTTCTTACCCTTATTTTAGCAGTAAAATCCGTGGATATCAGAAATTTAATTTTTATTCCTGTTCTTGTTTTAGGATATGCATTCTCTAGGCAGTAGGCCGCTAATAGCGGTTTCTCTGGCGATACCGTCAATTATTCTCATCGGATATCTCTGGCAGAAGCGAAGGGCCGAGGAAGCGGAGGCAAATAAATCAGATTTAAGTCAATATCTTGGAGCTATCGACTCAAGGGAAGTATCATTGAAGCTCGAGAATTTAAACAGATCAAGGTTGGATTGTATCGAAGAGGAGAGGACCGAGGTTCAGGAGGATAAGATAGTTAATTTTCTGGAAATTGCAGAGCAAGCTACCTGTACAGTTGCTGAGAACTCGTCTGTTCTAACTGAAACCACTGCGACGGTTGAGGTGTTAGAAAGCGCCCCCGAGTCTTTAGAATCCAAACCGGAGGTTATTACAGTCGAAACCGTGTCCGTGGAATCACTGGAGAATCCCCCCACTATGACCGTCAAGAAAGTTATTGAGGATATAGAGGTTGAGAAGAAGGTAGAAGTCCCTGACGTTTTCTCTGCTTTAAAGGATCCTATCTGTGAATTATCAACATCTCCGGTTAAATCCGAGTCCCTCGACAGCCAGAGATCTTGTGAATCCTGGAGCGATCTTATCGAGCAGGACGAACTGGAGAAGAGTTTATGTGAGAAACTGGATTTAAGTGAGAATACTAGACACGACTCCGGGGTCGCGTCTCCTACAGACGATTTGTCGGAGTCTGGACGGAAAGCAAGAGATGATAAATCAAGGATGAGTTCAGGAGAAGATGCAGGAATTGGAGGTTCGGAAACAGGTTGGATTATCTTATGTTACAGATTCTTTGCGGGAATTTTCTTTGGGGAGGGGGGGGGAGAAAATTTCATAAGTAAGCCTTAATTCCTATTCTGTCTTTACCTAGGTTGCTGAATAAGTATAAATGCATGATTAAGAACCCGCAGACAACCTTTATATACAAACAAGGTTCATAGCGGGCTTTAAAATAATACACATTTTATTTGAAAATTTTATGCGTGATAGTAATATTGCAGACATTTTGCTATTTTCTGGTAACAACTTGCTAAACTAAATTATTATTTTGCAAGTTTACTTCTACTTCTTAATCTAATAATTCTCTTATTTTTGCAAGTGATATTAATTTTACGATGTAATAACCATAATTTAAATGTATGAAACAATGTGGATTGCATGGCTATTAACTTGCTTTAAATCATAACTGGTTAAGTCTTGGAGTGCGTTTAAAACCAATCTATACAAGTTGCATATCTAGGTTTTTTTTATTTTTCTCAAGTTGTTTAAGGGATGAATTCCTATTTTCTTTGTATTCCCGCTTTCTAGACTAACTGTTGTATTAAGATTTAAGCACTACCAGACAACCACACGGCTTACTACCTTAATTATGTATAATTCACGAATGCAGTTCAGGCGAATCATCTGACCTTTAAAATATAGCAGTTTGCACGTAAAATATCTCTTAAGCATGAATTCGTATTCCCTGTCTATTACAAGACTGCTGAATAGGGTTGAATGCAAGATTAAAGAACCCGCAGACAACCTTTTTTTTTGTACAAATACAAGAAAGGTTCATAACGGGCTTTACAATGGTTAACAAATGTCAAAACAATAAAATTAGTCGGATCTTGGTATAAGCTTGCAACTGATGTTAAAATGTCAACTATTAAATTGTATTTTGTTTTAAAAATCTCTTTTTTGTCGTCAAAACGCATGAATTCCTATTCCCTGTCTATTACAAGACTGCTGAATAGGGTTGAATGCAAGATTAAAGAACCCGCAGACAACCTTTCCTTGTTCAAATACAAGAAAGGTTCATAACGGGCTTTACAAATCTCTTCCTTTTTCAGTGCCCTGACCCCCTATTCAATANCCCCCCCCCCCCCCCAACACCTGACCGTGTCGGGACTATGACGGTGAAATGACTGAATTCCTAGAAAAACTCAATAACCCCCCTCTCTGGGGGACATTTACAATGCCGACCTAGAGGGTAATAAATCTACAATGCTCATGATAGTAATAATTGCAGGAGATGTGAGCGATTCAGGACAGGGCAGTGAATTGTGTTTTGAAGATACACAATGTTTAGCATATCATTTCTATGTTCAAGACTATCTCTGTGGTAAGTACCGAACTGCCTTGCCGGATTAATCTAGTATTTTTTCCTCACTAATGATAAATCAAATGAGATTTGGTCTCTTTGATTCCCTTAAATTCCATTAAACTATTTTCCCATTTAAACTTTTATTTTCCCTTCTAAACTTTTATTTTCCCTTCTAAATTTTTATTTTCCCATTTAAACTTTTATTTTCCCTTTAAACCTTCTGTTTCTCCTCTTATTTTCATGTTCCCTCTTAACTTAATTTTCTAAAAATAAAATTTTAATTTTTCAATTTTCTTTGTAAACCTTACATTTTTTCCATTGAAACTTTTACTTTTTACCGTGAACTCTGATAACTTAGTTTCAAGGTTATTTAATTTTTTTATTAAAATGAGCAAAAGAATAAAATTACAACGTTCAGGTGCCTTTATTGGATCCAATGGTTCCAACATTAAGAAAATGAAGTCTGAGTGTCAATGTAACATAATACTTAAAGACGAACACACATCTTCCAAGCAGAAAAGCGATCAGGTAACAACTGTTATGTAGTTGAATGAAAAATTTAACCATTCTAGACCCAAGGATCAAAATTCGAATCTGATAATGTGTTATTTAATTTTTCCACTTTTATAAACGAATTACACCAAGGTTCAGTACCTGGATCCGGATCTAAACTGATATTTTCAGGTTCGTGGTCGAGGAAGGGATCGGAGGTACGCTGAAGTAAAAATGAATCTATGCATCATAGAGGGAACAAGAACCAATATCGACAAATGCCTCGAAATGATTAAAAAGAAGTAAGTGAGTTTAAATATATCGACAGGAAGTCTTAGTTTGGGCTTTACTCAATAAGTTTGTTAATGGTCGTACAGTAAAAAATTTTATCAGCAAATACATTGTGTTAAATATAAGATAAAAAATGTTCATGAACATAATTTTTGATCTATCATACACGAACAACTTTGCACATTCGAAAGCTTTAATTATTCAGTTAAGATGATTCTAATTCAAAAAATGTGTTGGGTCCGACATAATAACAATAGTGCTAATTTTAGACTTCCAGTAAAATAAGTTCTATTTTATGCGAGGAAAACCTGTCATCTAATGGGAGAAAATTTCGTTTTCCTTGTTAATTTGACACTTGTGACGTCGTGTATTATTAGTCCATTTCTCTGTTGCCACCTATTGTATTAACTTAAAATTATAAGTATACACCGCGCCAGAAACTGAAACTTGAAACCTGGACACATAAATGGTATTGTTCCAGGCTCTAGTTTAACTTGTGAATATTTCAGGTTTGATCAGAATCCTGAGCTAACACTTGAACAAATCAACAAACCTCTAAAAAGCAACCTCTCCCAGTGTAATGGTAAGCGAGATAAATTATCAACTAAAAAATCCTCGAAACTTGTGAACAACACAAAAAGGATGCATACATTTTCATCAGATCGAAACCTTTTGTTTGGAAATAAGCCTAATTAAATTGAATGTTTACATAGACCGCTTAACCAGTTTTCAGTCCCCGAAACCGCGTTCATTGTGTATTATCGAATTTTACTATGTATAAGTTAATTTTCTATTTTCTGATCAAGCCATGAAATTTTTTTTATTATTGGAAGCTGTCCTCAAAACTTATCTAAGGCAATATTTAACCGTGTATTATTAACCTTATCTGAGGGAACAGCCCTGTATTTACTAGGTTCATTAACCTTATCTGAGGCAATATTTAACCGTGTATTTACTTTAGATTCATTAACCTTATCTTAAGGAATATTTAACCGTGTATTTACTTCTAGGTTCATTAACCTTATCAGAGGCAATATTTAACCGTGTATTTACTTTAGGTTCATTAACCTTATCTTAGGGAATATTTTACCGTGCATTTACTTCTAGGTTCATTAACCTTATCTGAGGCAATATTTAACCCTGTTTTTACTTGTAGGTTCATTAACCTTATCTTAGGGAATATTTAACCGTGTATTTACTTTAGATTCATTAACCTTATCTTAGGGAATATTTTACCGTGCATTTACTTCTAGGTTCATCAACCTTATCTGAGGCAATATTTAACCCTGTTTCTACTTGTAGGTTCATTAACTCTATCTGAGGGAATAATGCACGATGTTTACGTCTCCGCAGTTGTTAATGGAGGTAAGAACCTATTTCTCTCTAGCTTTGTAGGCTGGGGGAATGGGGGGAGGGGTCGCATGCTGAGGTTTTAATGATTTCTGTTGTCAATCTAATATTATGTGGGCCGATTCGTAGATGACTAATTTCTGATTTTTTTGCGTTAAAAAAGTAGCCTTATGGCCGAACGATTGAACGTGGGTGTACATGTTTAAGTTTTACTCCCGGCCCACCCCTGGGGGGGGATTATTTGTGATTTTGGGGAGATGTAAAAATTGGACATCAAAGGCAACTTTTTCATTGTTATGATTTTTACTCCAGAATTCATAGATTTTCCCCATTTTCCCGAATAAAACTCTAGAGCGAGAAAATATTTTAAGTGAAGTTTATAATTTCTGGGGGAAATGATTTCTTTAAGGGGGAGGGGGAAATTATTTTTCTAGAAAATACACAGTAACACCCCTGCGAATAAGTAAATAAAAACTCCTTCAGTCAATAATTTCAATTCCCTATTTATTGTAAATGTAAGGTCGAAAAGTGATCCTACTTTGCTAATCAATTAGTGAATTGATTTAAATAACATTCAGTAAGTTTTAATTTTAATTACTCCAGGTCACGTGTTCATTCAGCAGCCAACTCATCCTACCTTCCCTGCACTAGAGAGATTAGACTCCTGTATGTTTAACACCTATACACAGTTGTCTACACCGGAAATGTCGAAACCTATTCCTATAAATAGTTTGTGTGTTGTTAACAGTAGCGAGGGATGGTATAGATGCGAGGTAATGCTTTCTATTTTCTAACAATTTCAAGTGTATGTAACGAAACGTTATTTTCGAAATCGACTTTTGAAATTTTTAAAGATTTTACATAATTTTCGTCCAAATAGAAATAAAAAACTAATATGGCGAAATGTTTAAGCTTGTAATATAAGTTAAGTTTTAAATAATGACTTAAGTTTGATAATCCTATTGCACGGTATTCTAAAACTTTGGCAATTTTCTACGACGGAAAAAAACTTAACGCTGTATATTTGTCAATGGCTTCGTATAAAATTCGAGATTTTGCATAAGCAAAAGAACAAAAGATCATTCCAAGGTTTAGAAGGTCTTGTTAGAAACGATTAATAAAAAATCTATATATGTTGCAAAAGCATATTTTGTATTGAAGAAAAAGTCTCCATTGGAAACCAAATAAAGTTCTTTGAAATGTTGAAGAAAAATCTGATTGTCTAGGTATTGGGTTACGATGAGATTGATGACGTATGTGATATTAAATATCTGGACTATGGAGGCTATGATATTGTTTCTACAGACCAACTTAGACAAATCAGATCAGATTTCCAGTTTCTACCTTTCCAGGTAAATATTAATAAACTATATTTTCTTGGAAAAATATTTTTATTCCCAGAAATGAGTTGTGTGTGCACGGGGCGCCAACATTTCGTCAAAGGGGTTTTGTTCTCTAAGCTAGGGAAAATATATGAAGTTTTGGGAATACAGCATGTGAAGGAAAAACTTTCTTTTATTTTTCCTTAGATCTTTAAAAACCACAGTAAAGTTCTAAGAATTGTTAAAATTTGATTTTGAATCTAATTGGATTCTATCTTGACTCTAAAAATTGCCGGTGGTCTACATCCTTAGTATAATGTTGGCNACCCTGTATCATGTATCCAGTATCCAGTATCATGCACCTAGTATCATGTACCCAGTATTTAGTTTGTATATATGTATGAAGCCAATTTTTTACAGATTGATTCTTGCCGAAGAAGTTTAAACCCTTTTACATGAACTTAACACAAAGGACATTGAATGAAAAATTGAATTTTAATGTTTTTTTTTTCCAAAATGGGATTTTTTTTCGAAAATTGTACTGATTGTACAGATTTTTTAAAAAAATGTACGGATTTTTAAAAAAATGTACGGATTGGTTTATCAAAATGTACGGATTGTACGGATTTTTAAAAAAAATGTACGGATTGTACGGATTTTTTTCTCGAAAATTGGACGGATTGTACGGATTTCTTCTGAAAATGTACGGATTTTTGAACGGATTTTGTTCAAAAAAGTTTTGGCCACCCTGTAATTGTTTTTTATTTCGTTAATCGTTCTGCAAAATGGTAGTTTGTAATTGTATTTTTCTTAAATTTTGTGAATTGGCTTTTATTTCATCTGTTTTTAGGCTATTGAATGTTACCTTGCCAATCTCGTACCTACAGAAGAAGACACCGTTTCCGCTGCTATCCTTGAAGAACTAGTCTCAAACCAGGTTCGTCCACCTAATTTGGTTTTGCGCTCATCAGTTTTTTTTTAATTCAGTGGTCTGCGTTTTTATCAAAACAATGCAAACCAATTTTCTTATTTGATTTCAAACAACCTTTTTTTAAATTACAAGTTAACATTGAACAAGAGAAAGCTGTTAATTAACAACTGCTCTTTGTTTCCATGCCGTTAACCAAACTTGGTAGAAATCATAAGTCGTCTTTATTGTATTGAAATATACGACGTCTGTTGTTTCCTATTTATTTTATATCTGTTACTTATCTGGGCAGCATTAAAATAATTTAGTTGTTAACAAATACAATTCTGAACTGTTAACAGATGTAGAAATGAAATTTTATGGTTTTTGGGGAGGGCATGCAATTTTGGACATTAATTAGGAAGGGGGGGGGGGCTTCTCCTTATAGAGGCAATAGATGAAAGTAAGATTAGTAGCGATCAAAAGCGCTTTTATATCGCATTAAGTATATACCCCTTTTTCGCGAACACTCCCTTTAATAGCTTGAAATATTTAGATATATTAAATATTTAAAAGAGGTAGAAATGAAATTTTATGGTTTTTGGGGAGGAAATGCAATATTGGACATTAGTTAGGAAGCCCCCATCTTAACTCTTTTAATAACACTAAATCTAGTTGTTTTATGCATCATAATTAAAAGCAAAAGACCCCTGTCCCTCTTCTTTATTCTTTTATACCTGCGTCATGGGTTCATCAGACTGGTTGAAAACGAAGTTTTTAAGTAAAAATGAAATTATAATTAATAGCTTGAAATATTTAGATGGTTCAAGCAAGGATGATTGGTTTGAACGAGGACGGCGTTCCAATGATTCACCTCTACAGATCAGTTAACGGTCAAACAGTCATGGTCAATCGAGAGCTTGTAGACAGGTTCGTAGTCAATACTGTAATTAAATACTCCTTGAAGAAAGGCGAGGTTACTGTTGGGAGCAAGTGTCTCAGCGTATAATTGATGACTGCGTGAAAAAATAGTTGAAACTTTTAAGTGGTTGGTTATTTTCACAAGAACGTTTTTAGATCACACTTCTAGGGTTCAATTCATTTAGCTGAATTTTTTAACACGGTTTTATTTGAAGGAGAAAAGAAAAGGTAATTGAAATTTTTCTTGTTGATTACACAATGTGATGGGACCAAATTTTTTATAATTGACATTGATAACCACGCTTGTCAACAACCTCTGAACACGATTTGCTAAGCGGGAAAGTACTACACTGGTTATACATTTTTGGAACCCCCCCCTCAATATTTTTGGATTTCCTTCCTCCTTAACTTGAGAACTCGAAAACGATATATTTTCTCTTCGCCTTCTTTCTTTGGGGTCGTTAAGATCATTGAATATGTAAGCGTGTTTTTATCTAGGAATTGTGCTGATTGGATTGAAGCCACCATAGTTCCTCTTATTCCTGTTGCAGATCACTAGAACACTTCAGGTTTGTTTAAAGATTAAATATTTTGAATAAACCCGCTGTATATTCGCCCGTTGAAAAGAATAACCAATTACTAAAATTTGACTAGTTTAGTCCCAAGAAGACGAAGGAAGTGGATTTTTTTTATTCTGTAGTTTGTCATTATTTTTGAAAGATTACAAATTGTATTACAAATACAAAAATTTTAAATGATCGATTTCAAATCGAAGTATTTACTGCTATTCATACGCGTTACTTACATTGCATGTTTCTTTATGTTAATATTGAATTTAAATTTAAAGGGTTATTTTAAGTGGTCCTCCATGGACAGATGACAATGCCCGATTAGCAATGGTACTCTTGAAACCTTCTTTAATAATGTGGAAGATTTTGTTGTTATTATAGGTTTATACTTTTTATTTCTGATAACTTCTTTATGTTTTCATGCAGCAGAAATGCGCAAGTCACTTGTAGAGAAACTACTAAACTAACAATAATTTATTTTTTATATTACAAACTTGGATTAATTGATCAGGCGGTGAATCCGGCATTGTTATTATTGCATATCTCTTGAACTTACACTGCAGTCCCTTTAAGGGGAGGTCAGAAGACTTTCAAGATTTTAAATACTTTAACGCTTTCCTTAAAGTATTTTTAAAGAGCATTAATGAAATACGGGCGGGGGGGGGGGTGATGGCAAGCCACTTAGATTGAGACTTCAGAGACGTAAAGATTTAAAATTTTTGTCAAACATTGTGTCCAATTTTATGGACACCATTTAAATTTGTTTTCAACAAGTCTGATTCTGAATCGAGGATGAAGCTCCATAAAATGACAATATTTTATTACAGGTGATTTCAGTCCGTCCTCTGGTTCCTGGTGGTAAATAGATAGAACTCCCTCCTACCTAGTAGCCTGTTAGGGAACCTTGAGATTCATCCTACAATCATCATTAACTGGGAGTAGGGTTCGAAGCTGTTCTTTTACTCCGGGTGGTTAAACCCAGTGGTCTCATAGTGAAATTAATGTTTGAAATAACCTTAAGTGCTCAAGTTCTACATCAACTTAAATTGAATTATTTTTTAATATTTAAATTTAGTATGCCATATTGTATGCTCAGGTGTAAATTAAAAATTTATTTGTTAGTTTTTTAAGAATCTTTCCATAATAGTTTGGTTTGGATATTGTAAAATATATATTTCTTAACTTATTAATATGTTATTGTCGAGCTTATATCAGAGAAGTTGTACGAACCTTATTCTTAGACTAAACATTTTATTGAGGGGTCTTGTTGAACATCCTAGTTTGTATAGAACAGAAACTACTTTTTATGGTGTTACAACGCAAACAGTTCAATGAAGTTGCTTATTAAAACACTGATGTTAACACTACACTAGTGTCACATGTCTCATGTTAGTTTTATCAAGGCATAACTTGCGTCCGAAAGACTTCTTATTCCTGATTTCTCTGGTGCTTGCTTTAGGATATGGGTCACATTTTAGAGAGCCATTAAAACCTTCTTTATTATTTGTCTTACTCTTACCCAAGCTTTCACGATTATTGAAAACTAAATTGGTATGGACTCGAAAGTAGTTGAGCTTTGTTAATACTTTGACGTAGTTTAACCACTATTCACGGTCGCAGCTGGGCTAGCTGACGAGAATTTTGAGATGCCGTGTTCCTCCAAACCAGTGCCTAGCAATCACCAAACTCATTTTGTGAGGATTTAAATTGATAAATTTAGCCAATCCCAAAATGTACGGTTTAAATATCGTATCGGATTATCACCAAGCTTGAAAGCCAAAATTAGCACCAATTTTTAAATCTGTGGATTTATCCTGAAAATCGCAATTAAGGTATATACATTATACACGATCTAATGTGATGTCGGACACCCTGGATATGTATTTCTTTAGCTCCTTTGACAGTAAAGGTGTTCGAAGTTAAAAAGTATTAAATTTGTTAGTGTTTCATACAGATTTAACTAGGTGTTCGATTCAAATTGATTATTAAAAATATTCTATGGCTTGTTCTTGTGTCTAAAAGATGTGTATACTCCCAACAGCTGTAAAATGAGAGATATAAGTCAATTAGTTGAAACTTGCTTGTGTGCAAAAGAAAAATTCTGTTCCGAGTTCTAGTGCCTTAAATTCTCCATTTTACGGTACATTTTTATTTGTTTTTTAGCTTCGGTTAGTTCATGGCTTTATCTACAAGGTGTCCCAACATCAAATTAGACCAAGTCATTGGTCTTAATTACGCTTTGTGCATATTCACTAAGTACAAGAGGTGTATTAAATTCTTTACATAGTCTACTACAATTTTTTATTAATTGCCTACCAAATCAGGCGCGTAGATGGAGGATTAGCCTAGAGGTGTGCAGTTTTGGCGCGCGTAAGCGCGCAGAAATTTTTTTTATTTCTGCACCCTCCTGAAAAACCAGTATTAATAAAAAATAAGTTAAAAATCTATATTAATCTATCTGAAGGCTGACTATTAGTCATCTGACCNAAAAAGAGAAGTAAAAAAAGATGTACAATTAGGAAGGTCATTTATATACAGTAAAAAGAGTATTGGCCCTTTGTTGTTGGTTTGTTTAGTCTGCAGTAAGCAGTTCCTGCAAGTACATTGTTACTATCTTTCATCTGTCAATAATCCTCATATAGTCTTTCTGTAGTCCCTCTACGGCCTCTATACCTTGTTTTCCAGAAAGGAGGCTATACCCCTTTACTTCTCTTATATCCTACAAAATTCCTGTCATGTCGATATAATCCTGATATTCTTCTATCACTATATGCAATTTCTTGGCAGTCAGTTTTCTGTAGCCTTAAATGCCATGTTTTTGTAATACCCATAAGAAGTCTAACTCTAAGAAGTAACATGTGTAATTGTATAATTGTTTTTTGAGAGAGAGGATAAATTTTAAGTATGAATAAGTTTCTTCAAGTTTCAACAGAGAAAATAGCAGGAAATTCTATTAGAAATGCTGCTCGAAGCTAGCCGAAGAAAGATGTAGGCATTTTTTTCTTAATTTGTCAAATTATAATAATAAGTTGTCCACATTCCCAGATTTGTTTTAAATTGCGCCCAAAATTAAAATCATAATAGTGCCATCGTCGAGGAGGGGGGCGAAATAAATTTTACTCAAAAGTCCCAAGTATTCTTTTTTTAATTGACTACTAACAATTGTTACCAATTCCATAAAAACTCATTTTTTAACTAATTACATCCTAAATAATAAAAGTATTTTAATTAACGAACAATTTTAAGTAAAGTCCTAAATAAGTAATTTTCCCAAGTAACACACTCCCAAATATATATTTTCCAATTAGTTATTAATTTTTTTAGTGGCCCATTCCTATAATTTATTAATTTCCCCAAGTTGTAGTTAGATTAGCTCTAAATTGGTTTCCAATCCTCAATTCTACAGTGTAAGTATTTTTACTCCGAAAATCGAATGATGTAATCTTTAAATTTAAGGGTTAGGTTAGGTTAGAACAATTTCTGGACTGAGTACAGCGACTAGCCTGCTAGCACAGGCTTCGGTCACGGATCTCTGAACTCTGTACTTCGCGTGTTAAATATTTGTATTTAAATTTTGTTCATATGTATTAAAGTTAAAATAGAATAACAACCGGTTCGAGAACTGGTACTCTGTGGTAATATATCGATTGGACGAATTGTAACATTCAATTTCACAAAATCCCACTGAGCCGCTTTAGCGGTCGTCCCAGAAATTGTATTCTGACCATAATCCTACTGCTAGAATATTAAAAATATGTCTGACATGTTGTATTCACAGCAGCTTATGCTGTACGGCACGATTAACTTTCAATAATTAATGTAATTATACGTATCTTATCTACCCTAGAGTGAACAGGTACTAAAGAGAGAGAACAAGAAAATACAAATATAACACTTTATTGTCAGGTACAAATTTTCATATTTACAAATGGATTCTTCAGAATGAATATCAAAACTTTAAAATACTAGTTTGTATACATTCTACTACTTAGCAGCAACCTTCTTTGAGGCGGGTTTCTTCGCGGCAGGCTTCTTTGCGGTGGGTTTCTTCGCAGCCGGCTTCTTAGCGGCGGGTTTCTTAACTGCCTTCTTGGCAGCTGGCTTTGCTGCAACCTTCTTCACAGCGGGTTTCTTGGCAGCCTTCTTAGCTACAGGTTTCTTGACAGTCTTTTTTGCAGGCTTCTCAGCTTTGACTGGTGCGGGAAGCTTGAAGCATCCAGATCCCTTCTTTCCAGCAGCTCCGCCTGCAACAATCTTCTTAGCAGCAATCATCTTCCTCAGGGCAATTCGAACATGACCCTGAGCCTTGGCAGCATCTCCAACTTTAAAGTTAGCGAGAATGTACTTGAGTATAGCCTGACGAGATGATCCATTCCTCTCCTTCAAGGCGGTCACAGCGGTAGCGATCATGGAAGCGAATGTAGGGTTAGCGGCGGTAACCTTCTTGACTGAAGACGTTTTCTTGGCAGCAACCTTCTTGCTCTTGGGTGTAGCAACGGCAGGAGCGGCAGCGGCGACAGCTTCGACAGACATGGTGATAGATAATAATTTGATGTGACTTCTTTGAGATGAGATTACCAATTGATAATTTATCTGGGTCGGACTGAATGTAAGTACTATAGAAGAGAACCGAATAGAGAGCGGTATCCTCTCTCACAAGTTCTTCCGCCATCTATTCCTGTTCGTCGGAACCCTCACAGATCTTCCAGAGATAGAAGGATCTGCTCCGCCGTACCTCCGCCGTTCCTTCTGGGGGGACTACTGTGGCGGCTATGAAAGTCGTCTTTCCTAGGAAGAACCTTTCGCGGCAGGGAGAAGAATAGGGGAGTTTCTAGAAGCCACGTCATATATATATATTCTCTACTTTGTAACTTTATATTAAAAATATAGTTAGTCGTTATCTAAATCCTCGTCTTATTGCTATCCGCCAAAATATAACTTAAAAATAACAAAATGTTTTTTAGAAAGGGGTGAAAATTTAGTTTAAAGTTGATGAACAAGGACAACTAATTCGCTGATGTGAAACTTTACCCCCCTATATTAAGAAAACCGCGCACTTTGTGAAAATAATTAAATTCGAGAATATATTTTAAATTATTCAAAATTGTAAAAACGAGGAAACTTTGCGAAAAAAAAAATTAGTTGCGAGTAAAACAATAAGTTAAACCTAACTTATAATACATGCAGGCAATTGAACTATCAATAGAATTGTCAAAATCTGCAGAAATCTGCGCACTTATATTTTACAGAATATATTTTAAATTATTAAGAATTGCAAAAATGAGAAAACTTTGCGAAACAAATATAAGTTCTACTTTACAATCGGTACCAATTAAATTACTCAAAAAATATGTTTTATTATTGCTGTAGAACTTAAACTTTAAAATTTTCTACTCAGCCATCTCAGACAAGAAAAATGTAGATATTTTATAGACAAGACAGAAATAAATCTAGGGGAGGGGCGAAATTTGGACGAAGCGCAAAATCTTAACTGAAAATTCAAAACATTTGGCTTCTGCCTTCTCATGGATATCAGGCAAAAGATGCTTTAAAGGTACACATACAGGGCATACAGTCCAATTACCTTGCATGTACTATACTTTAAACTCTCCTCCAAACAAAATTAGCAGAAAAAAGAATTGTTTCTATTTCTAAACATTTTATTCTACTGTTATGTTAGTAATAATTAGTATCTAAACTAGAGATCGTAAAAGACATGTTTGAAAATGAAAAATCAACTAAAACTTAAATCCTTTAAGATGAAAAAAGGACAAAGATCCAGAAAATAATTATGACTTGTAAAAGTTTCTGTTTTGAAAAAAAATAGGAGATAAAATTAAAAATCCTTTCTTCCTCCAGAGAATAGGCTGATTTGACCAAAAAATTAGTTTTGTACCTGCTGGAAAACAAGTAACAGTAAACTTAGTAAACTTTTAGGTTAGTCTTCAGAAAAAAGGGTGGGGGGTCAAAAGATACTCTTGATCCCACTTTTTTCCAAAGGGGGTCGTCGACCCCTTGCCCCCCCCTGGATCCGCGCCTGTGCTGTTTGCTCTTTAACTAAAACTAGTAAAAAAAAAATTTCTACAAAATCTACATTTTCAAATTTAGTGCGTATTGTTTTTTCATTTTTATTTTAGAAGAAATGAAATAACAAATTTGTTAATGTTGTGTTAAAAGTAGCTTCTATTTCTATTCTACATATATATACTTTGCTTGTGTCATGTCTGGCCGTTTGTATCTAATAAACGTCAAAACGGCCGGCTGAACCGATCGGGCCCAAATTTTGTGCGGAACAGCTCACTCTCACATATCCCCGAGAGTGTACAAAATTACAAAAATTTGTGTCCAAAAGTATTAGATTTTTGTAAAATTTTGAAAACCCGCAAATACCTATTTATAACATTGTTATTTTGGTTCGCAGTGTTATAAAGTTTTTGGACAGAAATTTTCTCTTTATCGAGAAGGTTCCAGGCTGTTTAAGATTTAACTTTGTCCCGAGCTTTAGATCCGAGAACTTTTTATTATCATTGCTATTGCACAAAAAGCGTCGAAAATGGTTATACCATAAATTGAAAAGTGGGGTTTATTTTGGTCAAAAATGGTATTAGGATTGTTAAATTAAGAGGAGAAACTAAACTAAAGAGGATTGTATAATGGAAAGAAGAAACTAAACTAAAAAGGATTAATGTATAATAGAAAGGAAAAACTAAACTAAACTAAAAAGGATTGTTTCATATAAAGGAGAAACTAAACTAAGAGGATTGTAGAATATAAAGGAGAAACTAAACTAAGAGGATTGTATAATATAAAGGAGAAACTAAAGTAAGAGGATTGTATAATATAAAGGAGAAACTAAACTAAGGGGATTGTAGAATATAAAGGAGAAACTAAATTAAGAAGATTGTATAATATAAAGGAGAAACTAAACTAAGAGGATTGTATAATATGAAAGAGAAACTAAAATAAAGAGGATTGTAGAATATAAAGGAGAAACCAAACTAAGAGGATTGTATAATATCAAGGAGAAACTAAAATAAAGAGGATTGTATAACATCAAGGAGAAACTAAACTAAAGAGGATTGTATAATATCCTTGAGAAACTAAACTAAGAGGATTGTATAATGGAAAGGAGCTAAACTAAACTAAGAAGATTTTAAAATAGAAATGAGAAAATGAACTAAGAAGAATTATATAATAGAAAGGAGAAACTAAACTAAAGAGAATTGTATAATAGAAAGGAGAAACTAAACTGAGAGGATTTCATAATATAAAGGAGAAACTAAACTAAGAGAATTGTAAAATAGAAATGAGAAACTAAACTAAGAGGATTGTATAATATAAAGGAGAAACTTAACTAAAGAGGATTGTATAATAGAAAAGAGAAACTAAACTAAGAGGATTGTATAATATAAAGGAGAAACTAAACTAAGAGGATTGTATATCAAGGAGAAACTAAAATAAAGAGGATTGTATAATATCAAGGAGAAACTAAACTAAGAGGATTGTATTATAAACTAAACTAAAGAGGATTGTATAATAGAAAGGAGAAACTAAACTGAAGAGGATTGTATAATAGAAAGGAGAAACTAAACTAAGAGGATTGTAAAATATAAATGAGAAACTAAACTAAGAGGATTGTATTAATTAAGGAGAAACTAAACTAAAGAGGATTGTAGAATATAAAGGAGAAACTAAACTAAGAGGATTGTAGAATATAAAGGAGAAATTAAACTAAGAGGATTGTAAAATAGAAAGGAGAAACTAAACTAAAAAGGATTGTATAATGGAAATGAGAAACTAAACTAAAAAGGATTGTATAATGGAAAGGAGAAACTAATTTAAAGTGGATTGTTTACTAAAACATAAAATAATAACTGGTCTAGATCAAATGACAAAAGGTGGAAACACAAGTAAAAAAAATGCTATTTTGAATAATGCAGATTTATTTAATAAAAAAATATCATCATTGAAGTACAATTTAAACTTTTTTATTTTAGTTTTTCTGCAGAAAAGAACTGAAAACGTTTAATTATCACAGAACAATAATATATGCTTATTATTCATACATCATGCAGATAGATACGATAGATCAAAAAACATTACTCTTTATTTCTTTAATATGCTGCATGGGGGGGGGGGAGATTTTATGCAACCTTGATTGAGTAGCATTATACAATATTGTATATATTGAATAATAAAGAACTAGCACATTAGTTGCCGGTACGCTATAGCTTTTATAAAAAATTCAAGTTAAAACAGAGTGCGTACAATAAATTCCATACTGATGTCATGTTTAACAATGCTCGCGGATATTAATGTGTAATTAATAGTTTTTGTTGTTACTTTAATCATAAAATGAACAGGGTTACCCACACATTAAAAGACTTAGAGACGACTAACAGAATTTCAGCCAACTTTCCGTTTAACTTTAACTCCTTCCTCTCTTTTACAAATCGTTTAACATATCATTTGAAGACACAAGGCAAACGACCAAATTCAACTTTTATTTCGTTACATTAAATGAGTTTTTTTGTCGTCATCATCAAAGTCTCATCCTTTGTGGGTAACCCTGTATGAGTCCATTTCACACAGGGGAAAATAATAAGTTTTACGACACAGAAAAGTAAAAATCACTGGTTTGACCAGATCAAGGTTTTTTTTTCAAGGGTACACAATTTTTCAGAATAAAAAACCCGAGGATAATAAATTAGATAATGCCTAACACTAAATCAAGATTAAGAATGAATTGTTAAATATCGTTAAATAAAAACAAGCCCCCCCCCCCATAACAAAAACATTTCAATGAATGCTCTAAAGAATAAACAAAGAGATATTTTCTATAAACAAACTAGTTTTTATTTTGCTCCTGTGCAGTATGCCTGCAGTGAGAATGACACTAAATCTGAGGTAGGTGTTATTTGATTGTCTCTGAAATATGAAAATGTTGAAAAAATATTCTGAAATGAGAGAAGAAAGAGAAGTTGATAATATTAAGATTTAGAAAGTTGATTTTGATTAATTGGAAATTTTTCAATTTGAACTGGAATTTATTTATTAATATATTTTTTCTAATGGAGATTTGATTTGTCAGTAATCAGTATATAACATTTATTTTCTTCTTCATGCCTCTAAATATAGTTTAGCTAGTTCGAAGGTGAATATTTATGAACAAAAGAGGCAATTGAACTAAAGCCACTGTTCAACACTATAAATTCCCAACTCTGTATTTACAAAATCACTTTGGTTTGAAATTTCTTGAGCTTCCAATGATAAGTAATCAATGATTTGTTCAGTTTTGTTATCAGGATAAGAGAGAGCAAGCAGCAAGGACAGTTTCTGAATTTATTCCCAATCCTTCTCGAGAAACCAGTCAACCAAACCACTAATCTTCTTGCATCCGTTCTTACTAAAAAAATTTGTATGTTTGGACATTTTAAGTTGAGTGGATTGGCTTTTGTGGAGAAAACTCCATGCAAAGCTTGGTGTTCAAAGCTACATGTACAAGATTCTCATAGATCATCTTAATAGTAAGTAAATAATAGCATTACTTAAAAAGAGATAATATTTAGTCAAGGCCAGTTTATATTAATATAATGTTTTTTTAAATGAGGGACTTTTAATTTTTTTTAGCTCAACAAATAAATGAAAGTATTTTTTTTTAAGACTTTAAACAATATATTTCACCCCTCAATAGTTTAGTTTCCATGCGAAATCTCAGTGGATTATGTTAAAAAATAAAGATGTGATCATGATCTAAAGTCTAAACAGAAAAACTTCAAAAATGAAGATAAGAAACCAAATTTAATTTCCAAGGAAATAAAGAAATGACGGGGAAAAAGAGAAGAAGAAAATGAACCAAAAAAATGATTAAAGAAATTACCCAGCATAATATAGGGTCAATTTGTACCTACACTATTGAACAGGTATTTTTTTTTCTTAAAAACCGAGGAAATTCAGAAAAAATATTGTTTCATTTTTTATATTTTACATTTTGAAAATAGATTCTTAGAGATAATCACTAATCGGACTATGCAAAATCTTAAGAAAATAGCTTGAAAAGTGAAGGCGTGACTCCCTTCCATATATTTTATTATATTTGAGTTTTGACCTCTACCTGAATATTTCGACATCTTTAGGCCAGTAGCTCAGTTTATCCGCCATATCATCAATATCCTCATCACTGAACGTTATCAAGGAAACAAAATCATTCTCAGACCTATCTTCCATTTGTTTTCTCTCCTCAGTTTTTCTTTTTTCCAATTCTCGTCTACAAGATACTTTATTGCAATCCCCAAAAAATCTATTTAAGTATCTCTAACATGTTATTAAATTTGATTTCATCCCATTCAATTAATTTCCATTTCATTAAAGATTATCTTCCTATTCTTTTAATTGAATTTCATTAAACTTTATTTGGCTCATTAAAATGAATTTCATTCTGTTCTTTATTCTTTCATTAAAATCCATTCAACGGCCTTTCATTGCATTCCAATTTGTCCAATTTTATTGGAATTTATTCCATTACATTGCAATTTATTGCATTGTATTGGAATTTATTCCATTTCATAGGAATTTATTCCATTGCATTGCAATAAATTAAACTGTAATTCAGTCAATTGCATTGCAATTTATTCAATTGCATTGCGTTGCATTACATTACAATCTATTCCATTTTGTTGCAATCCATTCTTTTGCGTTGCAGTCCATTCCAAATCATTGTAATACATTCATTGCATTGTAATCAATTCAATAGAATTGCAATCCATTCTTTGCATTGCTATCCCTTGAATTTTATTGCAATCTATTCCTTACATTGTAATCCATTAAATTGCATTGCAATCCATTAAATTGCATAGCAATCCACTCAATTGCATTACAATCCATTTAATAGCATTGCAATCCATTGCTTTTATGCCATATAATTCCATTCCATTCCATCTCATCTCATCTCAATCCCACCGAACCCAACTGTTTAAATATTCTCAAAGTATATTCCCTGATACAGAGTTTAACATGGGATTTCTCCAAGGGTAGAAAAGGAACGTACATGTCTATTAATGATTTTTGAATAAGATCTGCGTTCTGCAATCCACCTGAAAAAAAAAATTATTAGGGTATATATTTTTTTAAGTTACACCCTCCCCCCCCCAACCACTGGAACAAATTTTTGGTGGAAAATTCAAAATAAGACATCAGCTGGAAAGTTTTCCCCCATATTGATACTTTTTACCCAAAAATTTATTTACTTTTCCCAATTCAGCGTAGAACCATTTTAAATATTTATTACATAGGGGTCAAAAATGATTTTTTTCAGAAAATCTTAAAACTCTTCTCTTTTTAAAAGTAAGTTAGAATAAATATTAAGTTTTAAAAGAATGAAAATCTACCTATGGCTATATACAGTATACAATCCATTCAATTGCAATTCAATTTCTATTCCCTTGCATTGCATTGTATTTCATTAAATCTTAATTTATTCCATTGCATAAATTTTAATCCATTGCAAAGTTTAGAAAAAGCTAAATATCTACCGAGTTCATTGAAAGCTCCAAGGTTAAGACTTTCCTCTAAATCTGAATAGGATAGATCTTTTCGCTGCATACCGTTCTCCCAGTGCTTGTACGCGAACTTGGTTATCTCCTTTCCTGTAATAGAATGCCCCTGGAGTAGGATAATTATTCATTCCTCCTCCTTATTCATTTTTTGGGCCAAAAAGTGGGGTTCCAAAGACCACCTTTGGCTTGTCCTAACCATCTGGTATACACAATAAACATTACGAAGGCTCGGCAGGAAATCCTTGAGAGGCATAGCGTGTACCCCTTCTTTGAAGGTAATTGCACTATCCGCAATATGCATTTTATTTTTTAAATAAGAGAATAAAGTTGATTTGATTTCCCGCATTTTAAACAATCAATTTCCCGCATTACAAGTTAAATCTATATTGTAAGAACAAAATGATATTAATATTTTGATTTCTCAATGCTGATGATTTTTGAAATATATAAGAACAGTTTTTTAATTTTGTTTCTATTTTATCTTATAAAAAATCTTGTTTGTTATGGAAATGCGTAAATACTTGAAAATTGACATTGATATGAATTCCGTTAATTGTTTTAAAATAGGGATATGTTCAAAAATGTAATACAGTATCACCAAAAACTAATTCTCACACCTTAGTATTAGTTTAAAGTTGATATTTTTTGTTTCAATATATAGATTTAGCCATTTTTATAAATGCATGGTGTTTGTTTATCTCGGCTTGGATTTAAAGATATATACGATTGGAAAAGATAGCTTTGAAGATTTGGCCCATTTCTGACACTTAGTGTTAGAAATGGGCCAAGTGTTAGCTTTGGAACTAATGTCCCCTGAAATAATAATAATATACTATTTGATGTTTTGCCAATTTTTGATGTATTTAATAAAGATTGCAATTTGAACTAAGTTCTCGAGTGAGTTTGGAAAAACAAAAGAGAAAAATGATAATTTGGAAATGCAATTTAATGTCTAAGAATTATAAGATCGAGTAAACTTTTCACGAATAAAAGCCAAGGTGCATCTCATAAAGACGACATGTCATTTGCTTCAAGAAATAAACATGGGAATATGAATAACAGATAACTTGCGTTTGTTTGTAAAAAAAATGCAAAATTCACATAATTTTGTTATATTATATTTTGTTTTGAGAGGGGGTGAGAGAGAAAGTATTTGAAACAGATAAAACATGTTTTGGGACTGTCCCCTACAACTCAACTTAAATATGTGATGTTTTCAATAATCCGAGTTTTCTGAAATGTTTTCCTACCTCCAGTATTACTGAGGAATATAAAAATAGATTTCCTATAGTCTACCCCGTCTACAACCTCGTGGAAATCTAAATATTATTTAGTTCATTAATTGAATCAATGACTCCAGGTATATACTGACCTATGAATGGTATAATTGAATCATGCAATGACTCTCGGTATATACTGACCTATAAATGGTATAATTGCATCAATGACTCCAGGTATATACTGACCTATGAATGGTATAATTGCATCAATGACTCCAAGTGTATACTCACCTATAAATGGTATAATTGCATCAATGATTCCAAGTATATACTCACCTATGAATGGTATAATTGCATCAATGACTCCGGAAGGAAGTTTATCAATCTCATCAAATATAAAAAGTGATCTTTGGCACAGTGTTACATTCTCTTTAATCCAGTTCTGCAGGTTAGACTAAAAAAAATAGTGTAGAAAGGTCAATTTTTTAATTTGCATCCAACTTGTTAAAATTTACATTGATTGATCCATTAACCGGTTAATATCACCAATAATCGACCAAATAAAGTTTAGGGGACTTAATCTTAAAATCAGTGGTTTGCTGGCTATTTATTTAGTTATTAATGAACTTTTATGCTTTCAACGTTCTTGAATTGAGTAATTCAAATGAAACCCGCATCACATTGATATTTTTTAACAACCCTTTTTTCACTTTCATTTGTAAATACTCTTTATAAAAACGTAAAGATATCAGAATGATCTTTAAAAGTTTCAATAAAAATCTGATCATAGAGGCGTATTGGTAACCTCCCTAACTCTCAAATCCAACCATTAGGTCATGTGATCAGCAATAAAGCACAAAACATATAACAGACAATCACACATTTTGTTCACATTTAACTGCTGCACAATTACAATCTGCTCATGTTATCTATTATTGTTGGTTAGGCTAGGTTGGGATTATATCTGGGCCGCGCGCTGGGGCCATTCATCTGGGCTGAGTGCTGCGGCTAGGATGGGCTAGGGGCCCAACGCTGCGGCTAGGATGGGCTAGGGGCCCAGAGCTGCGGCTATCAAACAATTAGTTGCAAAAATGTTCAGAACTCTTAAGATCATTACTTCAGGATTAGTCTTTGTTACCCAATTACAATCGGTCCATGTTATCTTTGTAGGGGTAAGGCCTCTTCTTTGGGGGTGGTCAAGTTTTCGTGATTTAAAAAAAATTACATAAGGGCCTTGCCACTACCCCTACTCTCAGAAATAACCATCTGATCATTTGCATGTGGATAGATCGATTAAAAGAGGAAAAAATGATTTATAGTGATAACCAGAAAACAATAGATAAGAAAAACGACATTCAAGCGATACTTAAGTGTATTTGATGTTGTTACAAAGTGAATAGTTTTACTAGACACTTATTAAACACTTAATTCAGTGAAATGGGTCTGTGCACATAGCATAATTACTGTCTCATGCTCATTGATTTTAAAAAAGTTATAACTTGATTCCAAAAGTCGTCTTCATATTTCAGAGTTTTCTTGTTTTTATTGTACCTTATAGGCCTCTACATCTTGTCCTGGGAAGTGTAGAGTGGAGATGAAATTATGAACAAATTTACTAGATAGGATGGAACAATTATAAATAAAACTAGCCAAATTAACAAAGATTAAGTGTGAAAAATGATTGATTTCAAGAAAAAAAAAGAATTGTTGTTAGCAACAGTGGTTTTTTATTTAAAAATATTGTACACTGTATAGTATGTATACACTATACAGTTACCAAATCTCGACTGTACACTGTACAGTATACAGATATCATGTCCGTACTGGACATTGTAAAGTAAACAGATAGCAGTACGTACTGTAATCAATTACCAAGTGTGGACTGAAAACTGTAAACTGTGCGGTATACAGCATATCCGTACTGTACACTGTACGGTATAACGGTATACAGAAAGAATATCCGTACTGTCCAGTTATCACGAAATATTTGTACACTATGATACTGTTCCTCCCTATTTAGTCCTTCTTTGTATAAACTCTCAGCAACAAAGTTGGAAACATAATTCTTCCCTGATCCAGTCCATCTGTAAAATGTACGATTAATTTTTTTGTATTGTTAACGGGACTTTTTTCGTAAATTCAAGTGACCCTCCATTTAAAGTGAAAAAATGTACATCTCTTTCCTTCTTGATTAGAAAAAAACTTTTGAAATTCGCGTTGTAAATCGAGTATGCCGGCCAAGGAGTATGAAATAGAAGGGAGATACAACTGACGCGGCCCGCCCTACCATATGAATACAAATGAAGTACCGACTGCAAAACATGTATAATCATATGGTAGGGCGGGCCGCGTCAGTTGTATCTCCCTTCTATTTCATACTCCTTGATGCGAACCAATTAATGGCGAGTAACTCGAAATTATGTCTTCAGTCCTTTTAAAATCTTTGAAAATTGACCCCTTGACTTTTCAAAGATCCATCCAACAAATCAAATACTCATGTATATTAAAGAAGAAAAAAGACAACAAAAACCATAAAAAATACAAAAAGGCAGCCCAATAGATCGTTACGACTAAAGTTTAATTTTTTATTATAAAATTATCTGTATTATCCCATAATACCCTTTAAAAAGGTACGTGAGACATTAAAATATAAGCATTATTCATAAACATCTCACCCGTGAAAACTCATGGCAAGAGCTTTCTTTGGTTGATCCTTTCTTAAATGCATTCTCATTGATCTAAAATATTGAAAACAATTGATGATTATATAAATTCGGAGCAAATTATACGAACTTCGTATTTTATCTGCGCTATGGTTTTAAGTTTATAAAAAGATTGTTGTGAATTTAAAAATCTGTGATTTTGCCAACTCGGAATTTTCTCTTCATTTTTCAGTAGAACCCGTTTCGGAGGGGAGCCATTGTTCAAAGACTCACCCTGGCAGGCTCATACAAAAAGGAAAGAGTAGGCAAACTTACTTAATAACTGTTTCTGTAACAATATGTTGACCAAACACATTCTCCTCTAAAGCTTCCTTGAGTCCTGGTAGATTACTCCGTATATAGGGTTCCTTAAGAAGTCATATAATAAAGGAGCTGAACCCTACCAGTAATTTGTATACTTTTCCGGGTCCCCCCCCCTTACACTTTTTAAACCTCCCTAGCACCCGAACCATGAAAGTTGGTGGTCTGATTTCTTTAAATGAGCAGGCTTTGAACAAAATTTTTCTTTGAACTTCGACCAATAATTTTGCATTGAAGCTCCATACCTTTAATTTAAGCCATTTTTTCTATACATAGATTAAGACCCCCATCCCTTTTTAGGGTTTAAACTGCACATGATCCGGATCCAGGTACTAACAATATCAATAAAAAAACTAATGATTGAGAATGGCTTTAACAAATTGAATCTACACAACAAAGTCTGTCTGACTGCTCAATGATGTTTTTTAAATAAACCCAGAAAAATCGATACTTTCTGCCAAAATAAAAATACGAACCGGTGATATAGATTAAAATTTTAAAAAACTTGTAAACAATCCCTTTAATAGAACCTTTTTAATTAAACATCTCTTTGACCAAACTAGAAACCTAACCTGGCAGCATTCTCTAAACTGACAGTAAATATAGTTTCTAGTTCCAAACAATACAGAAGAAGCTCCCAGTATACCACCTTAACATAAGGGAATATTTAACTAGGATTCAGTAGGATATAGGAGAAGGATGGACAATTTCAGGATCCATATAAGTGATGTAAGGTTTCAAGAGTGAAAAATGTCAGGATCTAGGAAAGAATATCAGGATCAAGGATTTGAAGATTTCATAAAAAAGTAGAAGGATGGAAAGATTTCAGGATCTACGAGAAGGATCAAAAGAATCTATGAGAGGGATTAAAAAACCTTTAGAAACCAGGAGAAAGATTGAAAGATTTCAGGATCCAGGAGAAGGATTAAAGATTAAATTTAAGAATATAGGAGAAGAATTGAAAGATTTCAGGATCTAGGAGAAGGATTGAAAGATTTCAGAATCTAGGAGAAAAATTGAATGATTTCAAGGTATAGGAGAACGATTGAAAAAATTCAGAATCTATAAGAGGAATTGAAAGATTTTAGGATCTAGGATTGAGATTTTAGGATCTAGGACAAGTATTGAAAGATTTCAGGGTCTAGGAGAAGAAACGAAAGATTTCAGGATCTAGGAGATGGATTAAAAGATGTCAGGATCTAGGAGAAGAATTGAAAGATTTCAGGATCTAGGAGATGGTTTACAAGATTTCAGGATCTAGGAGAAGAATTGAAAGATTTCAGGAACTAGAAGAAGAAAATTGAAAGATTTCAGGAACTAGGAGAAAAATTGAAAGATTTCGGGATCTAGGAGAAAAATTAAAAGATTTCATGATTTTTTTAGATATAAATATATTTATAAGTACAGTTCATGATTTTTCATAGTTATATTTTTTAAACAAACACTTTAATGACGGGATTTGCCAAGCCAACATTGGTCGTCTTTAATGACAAACCCGAATGTTATCGTATTTAATTTTCAGATTTAAAGAAGATTTTAGGATCCAGGAGAATGAATAAAATATTTTAGGATCTACGAGATGGATTGAAATTGACAGATTAAATTTCAGTATCTATGAGAAGGATTGAACGATTTCAGGATCAAGAAATGTTGAAGGATTTATAGGAAAGTATTTAATTTTTGATGGATTTAGGAAAGGATTAATCTGTTGATGGATTAAGGAGAGGACTTAACTTTTGATGGATTAAGAAGAGGAGAATGATGGAATAAGGAAAGGAATAAACTGTTGATGGATTAAGGAAAAGAATAAACTGTTGATGGATTAAGGAAAGGAATAAACTGTTGATGGATTAAGAAAAGGTCTAAACTGTTGATGGATTAAGATAAGGTCTAAACTGTTGATGGATTAAGAAAAGGTCTAAACTGTTGATGGATTAAGAAAAAGACTATACTGCTCAAGAATGTAAGGCAAGGAAAGTCAATTGCGGTTGTGTATACTCTGTGTACATATTGAAACCAGTTCTCTTTGGGCGGAATTTGTAAACAATAACAGATGCATCAGTGTTCGTTTAGTATCCGAGGAGGTTAAAAGCATTAAATTTTGATAATTTTGATAATTCACATAATAATTTTCTATGACCAGAATATTTCATTGATTTTTTATGTGAATGATGGATCCCATGTCAGGCTTCGACATCCGTCTTGTGATTACATTAGCGCCCAGAGACAGTACACTGCAGTACTAAAGATGTGTACACTACTGAAATGACTTTCCTTGCCTTACATCCTTGATACTGTTGATGGATTAAGAAAAGGACTAAACTATTGATAGATTAAGAAATAGACTTTACTGTTGATGTATTAAAAAAATGAATTAACTGTTGATGGATTAAGAAAAGGACTAAACTTTTAATGGATTAAGAAAAGGACTAAACTGCTGATGGATTAAGAAAAGGACTAAACTTTTGATGGATTAAGAAAAGGTCTAAACTGTTGATGGATTAAGAAAAAGACTATACTGTTGATGGATTAAGAAAAGGACTAAACTGTTGATGGATTAAGAAAAGGACTAAACTGTTGATGGATTAAGAAAAGGACTAAACTTTTGATAAATTAAGGAAAGGACTAAACTTTTGATGATCCAAACCTGCAGTAAGAGGATCAATGAGCAGAGTACCAGGCAGAAAACTGCAGAGAAATATTGAGACCAAATTCATTTTGTAATTTTAACCATTCAAAAATATCTGAAATTGTTTAGATTTATTGAAATTTATCACTTTAATAATATTTATAAAAAACGAAACTTATTTTTATTTAATTACAGTTATATATTTCTTGACAACAAATATGATAGACTGTCAGAGAAAATAGACTATCATAAAAATGGAAAAATATGTATTGAAATATTTTTTTATTTACAGCTAATACGAATCAGATAACAATTACAACTTGGTTTATGACTAAATTATATAAATGTAAGAAAGCAAAATCAATGTTAATAGTACTTTTCGTGGATGTTTGAATATATTCATAATTATTTGTTGAAAACTGGAATAGTACTCTCAAAAATCAATGCCATGCTGGATGGATATACTTCGGAATGATTCTAAAATCAGTGAATCAATGAATCAATGAATCAATGAATCAATAAAGCGGAATCTTTCGTTCTATTTTTGTTCTGCACATGTGACAGTTCACCAATCCCTAAAAATCAGAGAACTTAAAGATAAGGAATTATAAAATAACCCCTCCAGGGGCGTATCTAAAAACTGGGCCTAAATTTTTTTTTTCCTGGGGGGAGGGGGGGCTTGGCACCCATTGGGACAAAAAAACGAAACTATAGTTTTCACTGTCCCAGAGGGGTTCAGTCCCAATACCACCACCCCAGAATACGTCTCTGAACCCTATAATACGTTCTACAACGGATCTAGTTGGGAATTTTCTGTTTTATCTAAACTTTCTTTAATTGACGGAAAAGTATATTTAAAAAACAGATTTTTTTCTATGCGGCACGGATGATTAAGGTTTAATGATGAAAAGTTCTCCTGCCTGAGTACAAAGTGTGCATGCTCCATGTCCGCACAGGAACGCAACATTCCTCCGTCGTTCCATGCAGATCCCGCACAGGAACTGTTCCTCCAGTTCCTCAACCTTCTGCTCCAGGGAACGGAGACGTCGGGCCTCCTGAAACCAATTAAAGATAAATAAAGAAACCAAATTCAGAGAGTTACCATTTTTTAGAATTTACCCAGAACTAGAACTGTACAGTGTACAACTATTATTCCTAAATGTGAATAGTATTGCAAAACGAGCATACCTTTCCCTCACTTTGCGAATTTCTATCCCAATAGGCAAAACTTACTCCCAACTTATAAAATATGGCTCCAAACTATTTGAAAATTCTCCATTTATAGGAATAAGGAAAAGAATAAACTGTTGATGGATTAAGGAAAAGAATAAACTGTTGATGGATTAAGAAAAGGACTAAACTGTTGATGGATTAAGAAAAGGTCTAAACTTTTGATGGATTAAGAAAAGGTCTAGTTGATATTTTTTGTTTCAATACATAGATTTAGAGATCAGAAGACTGAAAACCAGGATTAGAAAACTAATAACTAGAATAAAAACTAGAAACCAGGATCAAGAAACTAGAAACCAAGATTAGAAAACAGGATTAGGAAACTACAACCCGGGATTAGAAAACTAGACACTAGGACAAGAAAACTCAAAACCAGGATTAGAGATAATAGGATTAGGAAACTCAAAACCAGGATTAGAGATGATAGGATTAAGAAACACAACACCAGGATTAAACATAATAGGATTAGGAAACTCAACACCAGGATTGGAGATGATAGGATTAGTAGAGTGGATATAAATTCTATTTCCAACCCGGAAAAGACTCAAATTATGAAGAATTTTGTTCCGACTTGTTTCTCCAGGTAGAAACCTGCTCACCTGAGAGAGCAATCCTGGCAGACTATCCTGTGCTGACAAGGATGGAATGTGATGAGACTGTTTGGTTCAGAGCAAACCCTGCATTCTTCTACAAAACTGGCGGGTTCAACTTCTCCGATAGGACGAGGAGTATTATCAACGATCTCAGCGTAGTCGTGCTCGGCTCCTGTAGGTTCGGGACGGACAAGATATTCATCGATGAATCGTCTCAGCTCTGGGTTCTCTATAAGATCTGTCGGAGTTTCTCCGCACTTGTTTCGAACATCTCTATCTCCGTGCTTAAGAATCGTCAAGAGTACTCCGACCTAATACACAAAATAACATATAACACTCAACTTTCATAAATTCAGATCGAATGTAAAACAATGTATTTCATTTCATCAACTGAAAACGAAAAACATATAAGGTATGGATAATTTTGTTTTTTTTTATTAAATAATCTAAAATATGGCGATCAGGCAGTTACTAGCTATAACCTTTAAAATCTGTCCAGGACTAAGTTCCAGGTATGAGAGTCTGTCTAAATGTGCCGGTTCAAATATATCCGAGAGCTCATTTGAGTAGGGGTTTTCAACAGGCTCAGCTGTACCCGAGACGGCCAGGTGAGCAGATGTGTTCCCGTCCAAGTCTTGCAGGTCAACTTGAACTCTAAAAATAGAAGAAATCAATTATGTCAATCAGCTTCTTCATTTTCCTTTTAATTTTCTATTTTTTTTTCTCTCAATAAAAATGGGAATTACGTAACGACTTTGTTTAATAATTAATATCGTAATTCCTAATTTCAAAAATCAGAAAAAGTAATTATTTGTGCTCTTGGACAAATTGAACTATATCTACCTGTGTTGTAAAAGAATAGTAAGAAGAGGAAGGTTTGAATTAAGGGCAACATAATGGAGAATAGATCTTCCACGACCATCCTTAATATGACATTTTATCTTAACATCACGCAAATGTCTGAATCTATAAAAATACTTTTTTTTCTGTTTGTTTTTGTCCAAAAAAAAACGTGAAAACGGCTGAACCGATAGGGCCCAAGTTTCTTAAAATAACTCAAATGACCCAGCCCAGGGAAAGTTTATGTATCAATTTAGTTGAACAATTAAAATAGAAAAATCCGCGAAAATTTGAGAAAGGTTAAAAATGGCCGCTTTAAGAGCAACAGTTTAAAGCGAAAATTAATTTTTAGAAAATGGGGCGCGAAGCGCCCTAGGATCATTGTGTTATTATATATAGATTACTTAACAAACAAAAAAATACGAAACCAGAAAAAAAAACAATTATTTCCATTCTTTAAAGATATATATTTCCCAAACAAATAATAAGTGTTATAGAACTGGTTTGGTCTAAATAAATGTATATATTCGAGTACCTGGATATTTACATCACACTCTGGTATATCCAGCAAACTTTTTACAACACCAATATTTCCTCTAAATAAAATTAACCTTTATATTGAAAGTTGTGTACGCAAAGCGCAAACTATTGAATCAAATTCTATATAAAGAGTGACAAAAAAAAACCCTAACGGTTCACAGTTTTCTATATAACTTTTTATTTTTTGTGCAAACTTTATGAAAATTACACAAAATCATGTTTACACAATTGGGAAGAGATAACAATATCGTTTAGTGCACTTGATTTCCTCCACTCTCTACAACAGTCCGACATCTAACTGGTTTATAGGACATCAGCTTGACCACCAGAGCTCTGTCCTCCTTTATGGATCTCCATGCACCAATGATGGCCCTCTTCAGCTGGGCCAGAGTTTCACATTTTTGTTGAGCTACTCTCTCCTTGACTGTCCCCCAGACATTTTCAATCGGCCAAACATCGGAAAACTTAGAGCACTGCACTTCATGGTCCAATCTCCTGTTGAAACTGTCATTGACTGGTGCCAATGCTGCAACGCATCTGCGGATTGAGGCTGGGACATTTAGCCTAATAGCATCTCCTTCTAGGATATAGATCTTCAACTGCTGGAGCAGCATAGTCCCTAACAAGATCATCATACATAGCATCATTCATGTTTTTATGTTCAGGGTTGTAGTTCTTGTAAAAAACACTCATGAACACAGGGGACTCAGAATTTTGACCCTGATTTCTCTCTGCAATTTGAGGTCTACCATTGTTGCCTGCATGTTTCGTTACATCAAGGTCGCCATGAAACTTCTTTATTTGGTCAAAAATTTAACTTTTAAGGGAGGCTGGATTCATCTCAGTGAAATACACCACTTGATTGCCTATTAGAAGCCATCCACGGACCTGTCTGAGCTCAGCTTGAGTGTGCTTCTCCGGGTAAGCTTGGATTTGTACCTTAAAGGGACTGTAAAGGAAAAATGAAAGGGGGTATAGGCTGAAAGCTAATCACTTTAGCTCTTGATCGCGACCCATGAAAGTTTTATCTGATGTTCCTGTCTCGAGAAATTGATTTAAAACTGTGTTGCAATTATACGAAAGTTCATAATGTAAAATTTAGAAAATCTTAAACTTATATCACGTGACCAGAACTATCACCAATGGCAGAGCAGTATACTGATCACGTGTCTCCCGCCTTTATCACGTGACCACTTTACTGAACTGCCATTGGTGGAACTTCTGGTCAAGTAATACGGGAGTATAAATAATATTATGAATTAAATCTATTAAATATAGAAATAACAAATATAAAATTAGAATTGGAGTAAACCTAAGTTACAATAAGCTTTCTCTGGGATATCATAGTTTTCAGATTGGTTGCATATTTGCTGAATTTGATCTATTTAAACCCTCTACTTTTATACAAAATTGTATATATATTTATTATCGTATAAATTTGACACAGTTGTATATCAATTTCTCGAGATAGGAACATCAGATATAACTTTCATGGGTCGCGATCGAGAGCTAAAGTGATTAGCTTTCAGCCTATACCCCCTTTCATTTTTCCTTTACAGTCCCTTTAATGCTTAATCTTTGCTGCGAATTCATGATAGTAACTGCCAGCCCAAAAAATAAAGCTGTAATCGTTCCCGGATCCTCATACATGTTTGGCGGATTTTCATGCAACTTAACTCAAAAACAAAAAAGTTATAAAAAAACCGGATTATTTTTGACACACTTTAAATCATCATACGTCATTCACTTTAAGTTTCCTATGTGAAAAAATAAACTGAAATAAAATTAGCATAAATTATGTTTTACAGGGTAACTCACAAAGAATGAGACATCAGAAAGTAGAGACGACAAAACCGAAATAATCAAGTTTTTTAAATCTTGGTTCTTCACAGTCCACAGCCTACAAATTTATTATTTTCTTGTCAAATTGTTCCCATACCTTTGAAATGCTTTATCTATGGTATTTAAACCATATTCAACCGTCAGAAATAAATGCTTAAGGAGTTCCAGGTCGTCATTCGAGTCTCATCCTTTGTGGGTAACACAGTGGGCTTAATATTAGAATTATAAAAACCTTGCAGCTATATGTAGGGGAGCAAGACCATCAGTTGTAACTATATTCACTACTCTACGGTCTTCCCGGAGAAGCATCCGAACCAACCCTGCGTTCCCCAGGTGAACTGCAGTATGGAGAGGGTTCCAACCTCGTCGATCACACAGGAGAAGATCAGCCTGCCCAACCAACACCTCGGAGATATCCTCACAACCTTCATTAACAATTAAGTTGGATATTTTATAAAAATATGTGTCGAATATCTTGAACACTTGATCTCGATATCCAATGTGGGCACTATAAAGATAAATCCTCGATCCCTCAATAAAAGTTATCCCTACAAGGCATGACCACTACGGGATATTGAAGAGGAATTAAATTAATCCGTAGATCTGCTTAAGATGTAGATCAATGCCTGATCCTTAGATTCACAATACAAAAGTTCTGACTTCTGGTATACCTGAGTTGATGCTTATATGTAACGGTGTTTCCCCGTTCCTATCCTAGATATTAAAAACAATTAAGAACTATTTTATAGGATAACACATGATTATAATCTTACTTGAATGTTGACTGAAGCTCCCACTTTAAGTAGAGCTCTGACGGTTTCTATATTTCTGTTTATCACCGAGAGATGGAGTGCGGTTCTCTTCTCCAGGTTTTGGGAGTTAGGGGGAACCCCTTTAACAAAATATAAATCTGCATAATGATGACAATAATTATATAATACTAGAAATTCAAGGCGCGCCCTTCTTTCTAGCCTTAGAGGGCGCTTCGCGCCCATCTTCTAAATTAATTGTGAACATGTTCTCTTTGTGTACATCGTAAAACAAAACAAAAATAACTCGCGGGTTTTCACAAATAATTTCGCGGATTTTCAAAATTTTCAAAAACTTAATGACGACCGAATTTTGATGGAGACAAATATTTAAAATTTCAATCATTCATAAACCTTCCCTGGGGTCCCTAGATGTCCCACAAAAAATTTGGGCCCGATCGATTCAGCCGTTTTGACGTTTATTGGATACAAACAGACAGACAGACAGACAGACAGACAGACAAGCCAAATTTATATATAGATATATATATACAAGAGATTTTCATCATTAAAGATTTGTAATTTACCTTTATTTTCATAAGATATTTACAAAAAATGATTTGCCTTTATCCCGCCCCACTCTAAAAGTAGCATGATCTGAGCCGGTACAACATGAAATGTATATGCATTCAGTCGTACCGTGCAGTCTGGACTACCCAGTGTAGAGTCGACCCAGCACGTTTTAATCAACAAATGTAGCAAGGTTACAATGCCAAAGTTAGAAAAACATTTACCTTTATCAACAAGTGTAAGTATAGCTAGAGGTTTGGCTGCTATTGCTGCATAATGAAGAGGAATATCTCCAGCAGTATCTGATATACCTGCATCTCCACCATTCAATACCAACCAATCAATCACATTCACGTGACCTACAGAAAAAGTCTGTAAATATGACGCAGTTTTTTTCAATTTTTTGAACTTGAATAAAAATCTATTTATGTTCCAACCTTCATAAGCTGCGACCATGAGAACAGTTTTATCCTGTAACTTCTGATTGACTAGGACGGGACGGAATTTTAGTATAGAAGATACAATACTGAGATAACCCTTCCCAGCGGCCTTATGTAAACCTATGCATAATAAAGTTTAACATTTTAAAATTTATTTTTTCTTGATTTTAACACCTCTCACCTGTCAGAATTGCTTCATTGTCCGGAAGTATGACAAACTGTGAATCTGGCGCAGAAGAACCAAGAAGAATTCGGTCAACCTCGTTCAAGTTCCCGGCTCCGGAGCTACGGATAAAGCTGGTGTTGATGTTAAAGCATTCATCCTGCTGTTTAGGTTGAACCAGGATAGCGGAGTGAACTGCTCCAACCTTCCCTGCTCCGAAATCTACAACAAGGCTAGTGTCGGAGTGAACATGAGTTATTGTTCCAGTGCACCCTGAGAACCCGTCTAAAGCAGCATGGTTCTGATGATATTTCTCAATCAGAGACTTATCATTAGTAATTGTAACCTTGTCTCCCAAACTAAACCCTTGGATCACTTTTAAAGCCAAAGGATTCAACGTCCATCTATGATCTTTGGCAGGTTCTCCCGAAAACTGAACCCGTACGTCTCCTTTCTCCGTAATCCTGTGCACCTTCCCTCTCTTCCCGATGATCCGAGCCATCTCCTCTCGGAATTCTCCATGTCCAATTTGCATGGTTTTCAAGGTTTCAATGTTCTGGACCGAAACCTCGACAGTTTGCCCGATCAGGAATACTCTACTAGAGTCTACAGGTTTCCCTAGAATAGGTAGATGAGACGCATAAACCTTACCTCCACTAGCTGGAGAAACACACTTTAAATCAACCTTGTTCTTGTGTCCCAACCTGTACAGGTTCTCCTTACTACCTGGCCAGATCACACACGCCACACTATTTCCAGTCTGATCGTTCCAGTTCGTGATCTCCTTAACCCAACCTTGTGTTCCTACTCCTCCGTCCTGATCCCTCCACTCCCAGTCCCTCCCTCGAACAACTACAGCTCCTCGAAATGTTCCAAATACTTCAGTTTGTGTTGAGGAAAGCCTGCAGGGAACTCGAACTCCATGATCTCGAGGATGTAGTTTACGGACAAATTCATGGTTTACATCGTGGAACTTAGTGTGATAACATTTAGAGCATAGATCTACGTCATTGCATTGTCTACAGCTCCATCTAAATCCAAATATTCCGCAACTACCGCACCCGTCACACCTCACAGTATCATGGAATACTCCACTCGGAGAATTATCAAGAACACGTAAATCATACGCGTTTGTATAACCTTGGATTTCATCATAATTTAGGCGAAATAACTTTTTAATAATTGCTAAATTGGGTCCGTCCTAGAGAACGATTTTTGACCCCTCCTCTCAATTTTGCACATGATTTCAGAAAAATCATTATAACTTATTTTTTATTATTCTAGGGTTAGGTTAGGTTAAGACGATTTCTGGGCCGAGCGCTGCGTCTAGGACAGGCTAGAAGCCGAGCGATGCGGCTAGGGCAGATTAGCGGGCCGAGCGTCGCGCCTAGGACAGGCTACGGGGTCGGGCGTTTCGGCCACATGACCATGAAAGATAACCATGTACAAAATTGATAAGAGGTGGGGTCCAAAAATCTTTCTCAAGGAAATTACCGCTAAATTATGATATTTATTTTAAATGACCACCAGTATTAATCTAAAATTCTAAAATTTGTTAAATGGCTGAATTTTCAGAAAAATCGTATCAATTTTTATACATATATCTAATGGGAAAAGTCCGATGTCTGACCCCCAAGTTCGGGTCTCTGACTTGTCCTAGTCGTAGCGCTCGGCTCAGAACTTGTCTGAACCCAACCTTACCCTGCAGTAAAAAACAGTCAGTATTATTATATGTTAAAATTAATTACTAGAAATCCAGGTCAAGTGCAAACTTTATCAGATAGGGGGTGGGGGGCATAAAGTACTTTTCAGGACAGACCCTTTAAATATATCAAATTATGATTTAAAATTCCCTGCTCTGTAGTTTTGAAGAACTCCGTTATCCCAAAGAACCATTACAGTTCCAGGAAGACAGCCTGGAAGTCCGGAGTGTCCAAGTAGGACAATTGTTCCAACATGTCCTACCCCGCCGTCCTGGTCCCCCCATTGCCAGTCCAATCCTCGAATTACCCTTGCCCCTAATTCTAGTCCTGCCATTGTGTTCTAGGCGCTTGCATTATCTTTCAAGAATTACTCATAACATTGTTATTAAACAATTTGGCGGCATTCGTCCTTACAGATAAAACAAATAAAACGTCGGCGATTTTGAATCCGCAATATCTCTAAAACATTTTTCCGATTTACAAATTATTTTTCCTTTTGAATGTTTCCTTTTTACTGTCAAATTTTATCGATACTCTTTGTTCCTTTTTTGCAAAAGTTAATTAAAGAATTTTTTTAAAAAGTTCACCGTAGAAGTTTAATAATCCTGATTCTTTGAAAACATTAATGTACGCTGTAGCTGTCGTCAGTCGGCAGTCCGCAGTTTACAGTATTCGTAGATTTTACATTCGTCACTTCGCTCGATTTCAATGGCTAGCTAGCAGAGCATTACAGTGTTTTTGAGATTTCATTTCACGAAAAGTATAATTGCTGGGTCTGTCCTAGTGAACGATTTTTGGACCCCCCGTCCTCCTATCAATTTTGTACATGGACGAAATTAGTAAATTAATATTTATTTATTATTATTTAGGGTTAGGTTAGGTTAAGACACTTTCTGGGCCGAGCGCTGCGGCTAGGATGGGCTAGGGGGCCGAGCGCTGCGGCCACGGGTTAGGTTAGTTAAGACACTTTCTGGGCCGAGCGCTGCGGCTAGGATGGGCTAGGGGGCCGAGCGCTGCGGCTAGGACAGGCTAGGGGGCCGAGCGCTGTGGCCACAGGGTCAATTATATCCATGATTAACATATAAGATCCATGTACAAAATTGATAGGGGGGGGCGGGGGGTCCAAAAATCGTTCTCTAGGATTATACCTAATTGCTTGATATAAGTTTAACATTAAGTCATTATTTGTCGATTAAAATATATTGATCATATTTTTGATTTTACAGAAATTGATTATAGCACCATGTCTCTACCCCAACTTCTTGCTGGTGTCCTTGATAAACACGGAGACAGCATGCAGCAGGCTGCTCTTCTAGCATACCTTAGACAAGGAGAGGATGCACAGCAATATTTGGAGGTATGTGTGCTCCAAATGTATGCAATCGATTATCGAATGATTGTGAATCTTACCATTTCTGCTTTATTAATTTAATCTTAAAACCCAAGTAAAGTCTTGATTAAAGGAATTAATAGTAGTTTTAAACTACCCCTAGCCTGTCCTAGCACCATGCCCCCCCCCTGTATACGCCCTTGCATAAGAACTAGAAATAAAAAGTAAAAAATTAAAGTTTACTAATTAAAGACAATAACTGCTGCACGACTCTGTATGTCTGCTTACAAACACTTCAGCAAAGAGGACGAGCTTGACGCGGCAAGGTAACTTCTTCAAATAATCTTTAGTTTTAGCAGCCGGGAACTTTTTATAGGACGGTTTGAGTTATAAACGATCAATCTCTCTCTCACACAGACATTTTAATATTTAAATCTGGACATTTCAATTTATATACTAATCACATGTGTTCATAAATTTAAATCTCAAGCTAATCTGGAGACATAGTTAAAAAACTTCATCCAAACCATAAGTTTCCAATTCTCAAAAAAAATATTTTCAGGGCTGAGACTACGCTTGCAATTGCTAAATGGGTGAAAGAGCATCCATACGCAACCCAGGGATATTCATTAACTTATTCTACCTTTTTAAAGCTTTGAGTTGATTACTACAAAAATATTTATTTATCCGAACGAGTTTACATTTCTCTGCCTTTAAAAAATAATTTTCTTTTAAGAATTTTTGAATAATTTCACCAGGCCCAGACACAAGCCGAGCTAGAGAAACAAATCCTTCTCTTCAAGCAGAAAATACAGAATATCTAGAGATGTTCACTGTACATACAGTGTACAGTCTACATTGTACATTGCTCTGTTCGCTTTCTGTACTGTACACTGTTCAGAGTTGTTGAACCTAAACTTGCTGTCCAATTTTATCGTAATTGTTAAACATTTGATTTTTACTGATTTATATTGAATTCTTGTCTCAATTGTTTTATCTATATTCATATTCAATCTTAATTTGGTGTTCATGCAGCATTTGTTATCAATTTTAAAACTTGTTCAAAAAGTTATCCCTGAAAAGTTTACAAACTAAATTTTAAATGAGAATTTTTAGTCAAATAATTTACTTTATTTTCAGAACTAAATTCTGAAATGATAAATGGGTATAATGTGTTTCAGCAGCTTTGCAAAGAAGAGTTTAAGAAAAGATATCCAGATGAACAGGTAGAATATATTGTGTTCAAAAAAGATATCCAGATGAACAGGTAGAATATATTGTGTTCAAAAAAGATATCCAGATGAACAGGTAGAATATATTGTGTTCAAGCAAGATATCCAGATGAACAGGTAGGATATATTATTCTCAAGAAGGATATTCAGATGAACAGGTAGGATATATTATTCTCAAGAAGGATATTCAGATTAATGGGTAGAACATATGTGTTCAATTAGAACATCTTGACGAAGAGTTGGATATATTGTGTCCAAGAAGAATATCAAGACCAGGCCCTTAATTGAGGGATGGGGGCACCGGGTACCTGTGAACCAAATAATTTTTAGATCCATTTATCAATTTTTCAAAGATAATATAGTGATTATTAGGTCAGACTCGGAAAGGTTTGTTAAGAGATATATAAGCAAACTTGCAGAGAAAAAGATTTTGCCAATATCAGATATCGTAGAAATGTCCCATAAAAACAAAACTTAAATATTGAAAGAAATGGACAGATGGTAATGCTAAGTAACAAATAAGATTATAAAACAATGTAAAATGTAAAAAAAGATAAACAAAATTAATCACAAAATTATGAAAATTTTCTATGAAGGGGCTGCAACCCTCCGCCTCGTTCTCATGTTTTTCTCAGTGTGCCCCCCCCCCCCTCTAAATAATCACCCAGTTACGGCCCTGATGCAGCCGAAGAGGTAGGATATATTGTAAAAACGAACATGACATCCAAGCCGGCATTAGGAGGCTATAACTCATGAACCATAGATCACAGAAGTCACAAATTTTACGTTTTCTCAGAAAACATGACATTGACTTACATGAATATAGATTAAGGATGACCCAGATATCCTGACGAATATGTGATGTCTAGAAAAGGGTTTTTAACAAAAAGCTTTTCCTTCTGTGTCTTATTTTCAAATATGTTAAGTTGTTCCGTATCTCTAGGTGCCTGGAGAGCTGACCCGGAAGTGTACGGATAGATGGAAGACGATGTCGGAGCGGGAGAAGCGTTGGTTCAACCACGTGGCGGATACAGAGAAGAAAAAAGCAATCATTAACAGTAGTCCGGTCGCGGAAAACAAAAGGTTAAAATTTAATCAAAGAAATATGGGTTCTTCATTAAAAAACCCAATACCATATGCTAGTGCTGAATTCACTAAAAATGTGATCGTTCCAGGCCCGTAGCCAGGGGAGGAGAGGGATGAAAGGGTTCAGTTGCAACCCCCCCCCTTCCCGTTTAAAATAAGTTGCTTGGTATAATATCGCATATGTCGATAATCGATATACATACGTCACACATGCAATGTAACAAATGAATTCCAGTATGTATCAAAAATTCAATTCTTTAAATTTTGCCTCAGAATCAATATTTTGTCCAGACAATTCAAAATCAGTGAACATGAGTAGTAAAATCAAAATTATCAACATTTTCTGTCTTCCAATATTGTTTTTAGTTTTTAAATTAAGAAAACTTTCCTTGTACCATACAGAACATAAACTTTAGGGAAAATCGAATTGTCACTGTAACATTAAGTACAGAACAAAGAATTCAAGCTAAAATAACTCATTTATACCGAAATTCTGAAAAATTTTCTATGCAGCCACCCCCCGCCTCGTTCACTACGCTGATCTGGGTACCATACTACAACACCTCTCTTTGCTACCCCCTTGTGAAAATCCTGGCTACGGGCTTGGATCATTATTTTCTAATTGGATATGAACATTGCAACCCTATTAACAGCAAGATCCAGTGAAAAAAAATTCATGTTATGTCATATTTATTTTAAGTCAATAAATTAACAAACTTGCATTTCTAGCCGAGCACGGAAACAGAAGAGACCCAAAGATCCGAATGCTCCAAAACGCGCGCTCTCAGGTTTTACAATTAAATAATGAATAAAAAATATAAGAAATAATCTATATAAGAAAACTAGGCATACATATATATATATATAAAAATAAACTGGCCCAGGCCAACCATCTGGACCGATTGAGCTGAAATTTTTTTGTGGACACTCATGTGTAGCCGGGGGGGGGGGGGTCTTAGGCTTTAAAAATATCATATTAATATATAGATAGATAATTATAATAAATGATTGATAATGTTATTAATCAATGAACCAACATTTTATTAGGATTTTTCTGGTTTTCTAACGAGGAGAGAGGCAAGGTTAAGGCCGCTAACCCAGATTTTGGAGTAGGAGAAGTTGCGAAGGTATTGTTTAACGAAAATGTTTAAACCGAACCGTTTTCAGTTAAGGAACAATACAGTGTACGATGTACATAACATGGCGCTGTACAATGTATACTATTAGAGGTCAAATAACAGTGAACAGTACAGTGTACAGTGAACATAACATTGCGCTGTACTATATACACTTTTAGAGGTCACACAATAGCGATACTGTCGAAAAATGCAGGGTTACACAGTAGAATTGACAGTGCAGTAAAGTACGAAGAACAGTGTACTGTAGGCAAAATGTTCAGTAGAGTATACAATACAGTGCACTGTAGAAAACATGGTACACTGTACAGAATATATAAATTTACAGGAGTTGGGTAAGAGGTGGGGAGAATGTGATGAAGCCTTCAAACAGAAATATGAAGGTACAAAATATTATTCTAGTAAAATTGAAATAGCAGAAACCTGAAATGTAATAATTTGTGTTAAAACATGTATAATCTTAAAAAATAATTAAATGGGTAAACAATTTTTAATTACATTTTTCTTAAAATTTAAAAAAGTTATTCTTTACACGATTTTCCAAGTCAAACCAAACTTAGATTTAGCACCAATGATAGCGCTAAAGGGACTGTCAACGTAATTTCGAGTAACTTTCGTTTAAAGAGTTGCATGCCCGATTCACAATGGTAACCTAACCTCTGTCTGAGCATAAATGATGGAGATATTCCTGTTTTATCAAATAAATTTTGCGGATTTATGCAACCGAGAAAATAAATAATCTATTTTGAAGATGGAAAATGACGATATCGTTAAAGGGCATCGCTATGAATGTACATATCCTAGTTGAGGGCCATTTTAAATTTCAACTGATTTCCCACTAATATTTAGAAATGGCGGAGAGAGATCGGGCGAGATATGACAAGGAGAAGCTAGCATATCAACTTAAGCAGAGGGAGGATCTTATTGGAACAGAGGACTTCGACGAGGATATGGAGTAGATGATGGAGGGAGTAAAGGAGATGATGGGCTGGATGGAGGCGGAATTTTTACACGAGAATTCATCTGAAAATAGTTATTGTTCGAAAGTACTCTTTTAAAAGTACTAGTCTCAAGTTTTTTTTTATCGACTTAAAACTTTTTCGATTATTGTGTTTTGCAATATTTACAATATATTTATGGTTTCTATAATTATGTGTTTACTTTTAATGATAAAAAATTTCAGAAATTATGAAAAGATAAAAAAAATTAGTCACATCCGATCTAAACTCTTAAATAATCAACATAACCACTAAACAAGATAATACAAGAAAAAGCTAGGATTTCGATATAACCATGTTTGAGAATAAAGACGACCTGATTGATGAATTTGATGAGGAAATAGTTGAAAATAAATTCAGCAGTTTAAGCAGTAACAAAGCAAGGGTGGAGGAGATGGAGACTGATCCTCTTTGCCTTTCAATTCCTTGGATAGAATCAACTCCAGCTGTGGTCAGACCTTTTCAAACAGTTATGGTCCAACCTCTTCAAACTGTTATGGTCAGACCTCCTAAAACATTTGTGGCCAGATCTTCTCAAACAAGTGTGATAAAACCTCATAAAAAAAATGCGGTCAAACCTCGTAAAAAAAATGTGGTCAAACCTCATAAAAAAAATGTGCTCAAACCTCCTCAATCAGGTGTGATCATGGAAAAGTGTTCCCACAAGAGCAACTGTCTTCTCTGTGACACAGAACTGATTGCAGTAAAACAAGCCAATAAAGATTTAATAGGAACAGTAAGTGGGCTACGAATAAAACTAGAAAATCAGAGGGAAGAGTACAACGCTAAAATTAGGGCTCTAAAGAAAACCATTTTTGAAATTACTGATTCCTCGTCTGTGGGTAAAGTATTTTCTACGGCGATAAAAGGTATTGTTTTTAATTAATTTATAATTTATCAACAATACCTCCATTTTTGAATGAGAGCACAGCTTCCGTTCCTGAGCCCCTAACGGTCGAAACTGCTAGCCAAAATTTATGTTTAGTAAATAGTAGATTTTTTGTGATTATGTTTTTCATATTAACATGATGGGGCAACATCAATTCTCCATTGCGCACCTCTTTAATACACATGAGTCTCTTATATTCTTTATTTCTGGTACAGCGATACAGAGCTAGGACCCGTGAACTGAAAAACAATACACCAGTCACGGGTTAAAATAAATAATAAATTAGTATTATAGTTATTCAAATAAATAAAATTAGCCAAGTTTACATTGCTCCAGGTGTGCTAAGTGTGATTAAATTGTAACAACAATTATGAATTGAAATAACACTTACGATGTGCTAAATGTGAATAAGTTGCGACAAATCCTCTATTATATTTCGCCTGATGATCCCTTTATACAAGTATAAGTCCCCCAACCCCCCGGAAAATAAATCCTGTAAACGTCCTGATATACATACAAAGTAATACCTTTCTTTAACTAGATGAATGCTCGGTGTCTAAAAACCCTCAGTCCCTGGATGTCAAGTTAAGTAGTCTAAGGCAAACTATGAACCAGGATCTTATCCTGGTTCTGGGTACCTGTGGAACCCCGGATCTCAATGTTTTAAGAGTAGCACAGTTCTCCGTTATTCCAGAGTCAGGGAATATAAAAAAGGAAATGAAAAGATACATTGAATACTCTGGTTCCTTAAGTATGTCCAAGGTATTTTGAGCATTTTTTTGTAAAGTTTCTTATCTTACATTTATTTTAAGAGCAGAATTAACCTTATACGTATAGCCGGGAAGGAAAAATAACCGTAACAAATGAAAATCTGATTCTATATGTAAAGCTGAATTAATCAATTCTCTTTTTGTTTTTAAAGCGCTTAACCTTTAAGAGAATTTGAAGAATAATTATGAACTATTTTTATCCGTTAAAAACACAGCTTAACATTTTGATTTTCAGATGGCCGTTAGATCGCGAAAAGTAAGAGCAAGATCATTGATGGAAGTTTGCAAATTTTTTGCAAATCCAAATTTTCGATCTAAACGATCTGAACGTTCTACTCCACCTGAAGCCAGTGATCCCCAATCCTCCTCTCTGGAGCCTAACCCTGATCCTACTGAACACACTGAACCCAGAGATCAACCAGGAGATCTGGTTCAACCAGACATTGAGGGGACTCCGAGCGAAACTGATAATCTCAAGGTTATAGGAATTAATTTATTATCATTTTCACGTCGATATGCAGTTTTTAATGAACAAGAGCCAGTAATTAAATTATTAGTTAATCACGTACAGTGATGAGGAAGATAAGGGAAAAGGAAAAGGTTTAAAAAACATGAGGGGAGGGTAAAATTGCCTGAAGGGGTTTAGGATTCCTTTTAAAATCCCCCCCCCCCCTCAAAAGTATATGCCCACTGTTCAGACTGCAAAATAGTGTTTTTAAATCGGGATTTCTGAGGGGGAAAATGGAAAAAATCGGAGTGAGAGGTGCGTTCTATTTTTTTTCGGAACAATTCAGCTTTCATGATCTCTAGTAAATGTGAATTATCATTTAGATTTTGTTGAAAGAACTGATAAGACTAGATCGCCTGCTGTTCCAAAACAGTTTTACTGAAGAGTACCCGAATCTTAATAAGCCTGCTTGTGAGAAAACCGGGGTAAATTTAAACAACTTTTACTTTTTAAAACTTGAAACGGATTGAGTTTAACGATTATTGGTCAAATCTTGGGATTTGACCAATAAGAAAGCACAATTTAAAGCTAAGTTTAACACGGAAAACAGGGTCTAATCAAATGGTGTCCCACATCATATTGGATCTAAATTGGGATTTTCGGGAATATATAGACAACTTAGAAAGGTTGAATCATTTTAATAAATGTTTAAGTTTAATACAAAATGCATGCAGAAAATACGAGTTTTTTTATGTTTTTGGGGAGTGTTTGTCCGTATCCAGTTGCCCCCTCTCAGTTACGGTCCTGCTTGGAGATGATTTAATTTGATATTAAAGTTCCCACCTCTGGTTTATTCAGCAATTTATTTTTAACTAGATGATGTGCCCGGCTTTCTCCCGCCGTTTACCCGCACTTGGTCTTAAACCATGATTTTAGATGAAGTGCCAAGCGTTGCCTGTGGAATTTAAAAGCTCCAATTTTTGTTAGCCTGCTGCTATAGCGAGCATAAAATGAGCGAATAGCTTTATTATATCTATTTTATTTAATATTTAGAATTATACTTGCTCTGAGTGCGATGTAAAATTTGATAAGAATCACGAGCTAACCCATCATCTCAGGAAAACTCATAACATGAAAATCAAATATTAATCAAATTAATTTCACGTGACGTTGACTAATTTTCGGCCAAGCAATTTAAAATAATAAGAATGTAATCTTATTTGCAACAACGCATACTTTGTAGTTGAATAAAAATATAAAAATATGAAATTATATCCTAAAACCTAAGATTATAATTCATCCTCTAACTAGATGCAGCGTTTGCAGTCAAACCTTTGAGTTGACAAGCCCAACCGTTTATCAGCTTCATCTGGCCAAACATTTCCCTCCAGTTTACCAATGTGACAAGTGTGAACTAAAGTTTTACCGTTTGTATAATCTGAAGATGCACAAGAGAAGACAACACAAGGAACTAGCTGGTTGTGCCTTCCAGTGTGATATCTGCTCAAAAACATTTATTTCTAAATCTAAACTGGAAGAACACATGAACACGCATACAGGAGCCAAACCTTTCATTTGCGATAAATGCGGGAAAGGTTTTCAAAATGATTCAAACCGGAGAAACCATTTTAAAAATGCACATAAAGACGCAAAGGACTTTTTTACTACACATCGGGACAAAATGTTTGCCTGTCATATTTGTGAAAAGGATTTTATGTCTGACAACCAGAGGAAAGGACACGTGAAGAGATATCATTCTAAAGATGATGCTCCGGTGCAATAAATATTCTAGGTTTCCCAAATGCTGTCTCGAACTAATGGATTTCATAAATCTGATATTCATCTATTTGAACATCGAGAACTTTGCTGTTAATAAGCCAAAGAGACAAACAGTTAATCAGTATGTCGTTCGTGTAAACAAGAAAATTATGTCGAATAAATCATATTCAAAGTGCAGTGTTAAATACTAAAATCAATGTTTACTTTTGAAACCATTAAACTGTAAAGTAGGAAGACGACATGACGAATGATACAAAAGGTTCAATGATCACCCGTCTCAGAATAAATTTCTGACAACGCCCCTAAATCTAGACAAAAAATTCAAAAAGAAAAAAATCGCGCGCCTTCTGCACAGGCAGTGTACGTACAGATCCACTAAATGGGTTGATTATCAACCTGTCGGTAATACTATTTGCGCTTTAAAAACAATTATTACATAATTAGATTGCTCAAATATTTTCTTTTATTCCACAGTTTTATTGGCCGCAATATAGAGATTTAAATTCATTAGAACTAGGTTGTGACCTTACGTTCCACGTAGTATAATGGGTTTACCGACTTGAGGTCAAACCCTTAGCATTTTAAATCTGCAGATTACGCAATGAGTCACTTCCACTTTCCCTGACGACTGAAACTATATCTTCGGCCACAGAGACCCCATTCTTAGAAGCATCTCATAAACACATCCTAGTGGATTTACCGTATTTCCTTAGAATTAACTTACAGGGTTACCTGCTAAAGATGAGACTTATAATGACGACCTGTGATTATTTGAATATGGCGACATAAAGGTTGATTTAAAACAATGTTACTTAAAAAGTATAAATATTAGATGGTCTGGCAAATATAGAAGTTTAGAAAAGTGTACAGCTGCAGAATACCAGGAATTTAAGGGGAAAAAGGATGAATGACTTCTATGTAGTCGTCTTTGAAGTTTCATTCTTTGTGTGTTAACAGTGAAGAACAGCGGTGTGACCTGTGAAGTCTCCTCTATTTTAAAGATTGTGGGTATTGAGTTAAGTTTTAGACTTATTTTGTTATAATGTTTAGAATATTCTTGCATAAAATTATGGCCGCAAAGCATTGCACGCAGATTTAACGGTTGGGTCCTTTTCCCCGTGACTTTGGATTATAACTTGACTATCTAAACATACATTTTAAGATTGATGAGTTATAGACTAAAATACGATTGACTTTAAAGTGAAGAAACCGAGTGCATTTAGCTTCGGTTAGTCCATGGTGAATGGTGATTGAGACGATAACGAATATCTGGAAACGATCTTAAAATTTGTGTCCTCCACACTAGATATGGCCTAAAGCACGCACCTCTGACCCTTAAGTAAAGTAAATTCAACCTGAAGTCTGACCGCTTCAACCTTTTTGCACCGGCTAGTCCTATTGAGTGTATGCTTTACCCTATATCCGGGCGATACAGTACAAACTGGGACCGGAAAGGTTGACCCGGCTCGGAGATTCAAATGTACTACGGCTGCCCGTGTAACGGTTTAACTATTTGACAACGAAAACCTAAGTTCACAGTTGCTTTATTTAGAGTTTAATTTAAGATTATTTGATTCTACATAATAGAGAATATAAAAATAAATATAAAATAATTCATATTTTATTATAAACCCAGTTAATCAAGTTATATATATGTTTATAGTTTCCAACAGTACTAGTGGAGAACTCAGCTGCATTATTGATAAAACTCCAGTTTATATTTTCACAATCCTTGAACCTGGAGCAGGGTTCACCCATCCTTCCCTCTCCTCCAGCTCTCATCAACCTCAACCTTTGCTCCTCGGTTAGGCCAGGAATATTCTTTGCAATAACAACATGGAACACTTCGGCTAGAACATAGGATAACCCGCCCTGTCGGGACATATTCTCACCCTCCTCACAGAACAGTTTCTCCAGGCATGTTAGGGACGGAGAGAGATGACTCCTAAAGACCAGACCAATCCCAGCTTGTAGGACGGGGATAAGATTCTCCTGGTCCTCCTCCGTTCCGGTTTGGTGAGACCTGAAAACAGTTTTTGTTAAATTCATTTAAGAACTTCGGCAGGGGTGTACATATATACTTGATGGTCCCCCTGGAAAAGTAAATTCAATGATTTTCTGGGGAACTCAGGGGCTGGGATCCCCCTTGAAATATCAGAAACCAACTCCTCCCCCCCAGACATATTCCTTTATACTCCCCTGAAAGTAAGCGCACAGTTCTTCGTCTTAGCCGCAGCAAAAATTCAATATTAGCTTCCTTTTGATACATGCATACAGATAATTTTCAACAGAAGGAATTTCTTAAAATTGTGTTTAATAATGATTTGATCTACCAACTCTATAGTGATGCTTGAATTACAAACAAGATCTTCATTCATGTCAAGTACGCGTTTAAGTTCTTTTATTTAAACCTTTTAAATAGCTGTTTCAGTTTTTATAAAAATAGCTTGCTTTACATCCCATTCGTTCAGTTCTAATTCAATCTTTTTTAATTTTACCAGAAGAACTCCCTAAAGTCTTAAAGGTATTATGCAAGACTTGTACCTGATTCTCTCCAAGCTCTGAAGAATCCTTTTTACTCGTCCTTCGTTCTAAATAACCAAAAAATATCCATGAACAGTAGAGTGGGAAACAGAAAATTGTAAAATGGAAAGAAGATACTTAAATTGTATTTGCTGTTTAAAATCATTACTTTAGTCTTAGTTGTCTTCCTATTCCAGAGTTTTCTGGTTCTCACTGTAGGATTTTAGTGCCCAGATTTTGAGACTTAGCTCAGTATGTAAAAATAAGAATGATTATTATTTTTTTCACTGAAGGTAGTTTCATGCAGTGCAAAAATAAAAAATAAAAATGCATTTAATAGACTACATTTTCTTAGTTACAAGTCCTAACATTAGTTTCAAGGTTGGCTTTCTGGTACAGTGGTCGCAAGAATTAAGTGGAATTGGAAGACGAAATGAAAGTAATCTATTTTTGAAAATATATCAAATCAAATAAAATGAATTCCTGCATAAGCTTAATTGACTAGTACCAATGTACTTATCTTACCAAATCTTAGTTCTAAAAGACTTTGTAATATTCCCAAGGTTGTATAATAAGGTTGGTCACCCTCGATGCGCTCCAATGTACAGAAATTGCGTCTCCTAAGTTAGATAGATAAAAACCTCTTATGACGTCACTCTCGCCTCGATTATCAGTAACGTCATTGAGGTTTTTATCTATCTATCTTAGGAAATTACATTTTCCGTAACCAACCTTTCATACAAACTTGAATATTCCACATTTTTATGTTTACTACTCTAAATATTTCCCGGCATTTTACTGACCTGAATACTCCGTTTTGTAACATTTAATTTTCTGCCGCCTAGTCCAACCATCACCATCGACATCACATTCGCATTTGTATTACTTTCGTTTATATTATTATCATTAGCATTCTGCTCATTGTCGTTGATGTTGTTGTTGTTATTGTTGTTGTTTACATTGGACACCATAAGCGAGGCAATATTGAAAGCACTGAAACATCATCGTTATCATACTATCTATGTACACTAGCTTGGGAACCAGGCTTTGACTGGAAACCAAGTTTACCTTAGGAAAGTCAACCCCCTCAAATTTTAATTTTAAAGCCAATTTTCAAGGTTACCTAAGCATGAATGCTATCAGCTGAAATGTATCTAAAGTTCCATCTTGACCCCCGCTATCCCCGCAATCTGAATCTCCCGGAAACCAAACGATGGGCGGCTGAAAAAAATTATTTTTAATCAAAAGAATTTTTTTTGGTATTTTTTTAATAATTCATGCACATTATTTTACAAAAGTATACCTTAGTAGTTGTACTTCGAATAAATATCTTCTTAGTTTGTTGATCATCATGTACAGGGTAGGTAGAAGCTAAGGTTAAACAAATCATACTACATGTACTTGTGCAGTGGTTTTATGAGTTTAGAAGAGCAGGAAGACTCCGCGATTTTAAAACATTTTATTGAAAAGAAATTTCTGTAATCCTAATTGTTTTAGTTGCCATTGTAATCCATTTCATGTATTTTTTAAGTTTGTGAAATTGGAAAAAAATTTAAGTTGACAATCTTAAAATACTGCTAAAAAACTAACTGACCTAGGGAAGCAAGTTTTTGATGCACATCCTGAACCAATATTTATTTATTGATGATTATTAATGAGTCCTTTCAAAAACTAAACGTCGATCTCTACTTTTTCTGCCTATTTAATTGTAAGTTTAGAAATTTAGAATAACGAAAATTGAATTTTTTTAACCAATAAAAAAATTTCCTTAGAAAGTAAGAGTTGGTTTGAAATGGAATCCTGGTTCTGCATGAAGTCCCCGGAGCTAAAACCTGGGTTCGAACTAGGAGGACTTCTTCCGTATACATTTTGGAATTGATGAAAACCGGACATTTTTCTGAAATTGTTTTTAGTTTAAAATATGCCATCTGCAGTCAATGTGTTTCAGGGTTCTTAGGTTTTTTATTTCTTTACAGCTCTCCATCAACGATTTTTTGCTCTCCAACCTAGTCAGATCATTTATTCTAGATTCTCCGCTCTCCGACCTAGTCGGAGTATTTATTCTAGATTCTCCGCTCTCCGACCTAGTCGGAGTATTTATTCTAGATTCTCCGCTCTCCGTCCTAGTCGGAATATTTATTCTAGATTCTCCGCTCTCCGTCCTAGTCGGAGTATTTAATCTAGATTTTCCACTCTCCGTCCTAGTCGGAGTATTTAAACTAGATTTTGCACTCTCCGTCCTAGTCGGAGTATTTGTTTTAGATTTTCCACTTTCCGTCCTAGTCAGAGTATTTAAACTAGATTTTCCACTCTCCGTCCTAGTCGGAGTATTTAATTCTTGGCGTAGCATGGTTTCCACTTCGCAGAGAAGAATCCGCTGACATAACTCTGATTCCAAATTAAAAATGGCGCTAATCAAGGTTTTGAAGTTTGTGTAATTGAGAAGGTTTAGTGATCTCCTGGTTCTCCTGGGTTTATTTATATTCAAGGATCGGAGAAGGGAGAAATCTATTATTGTGTTCTCAACCCTAGGCAGGGTGTTGATCTTTCCTTCAGTATCTACTGTCCCTATAAAGAAAATATTCAGTGGGATAAAAAAAAACTGTCCCTAAAAAAACAAATATGAATTTTAATGTTTTTTTCAAATGACAAAAAAACTAATTTATTCTGAAAATTGAAAAGAAATACACACGGTTAAAAGGATTAATCCATGAAATTAGTCTTCTGTTCTTGGAAGATTTTGTCATTTAATTATCAACTTTTAAAGGATAAACCACCAAAGAAAAATGATAAAAAGAAGCAAATGTAAATATCTCTTAAAGTTAAAGATTACCTATTATCACAGTTGCTGTTTCGACAACCCTAGTGCCTTTATACTCAATTGTTCCGTTGGTGAAAATTTTTCTAAAATTTCGCACATTTCTTTACTAAAAAAATTAACCAACACAAACTTTACAATTTAACTTGAATTGCAAGCTATATTCTTATTTGAAAATAACGAACATATGAAGTTTAACAATGGTTGAAAATATGCTTCCCTATCAACATTCTCCCAGTATACTCCCTCGACCTCTAGTCCAGGTAGTAAGCTGATCTCTCCTCCAGGTAGAAGCCAACCCAGAGACATGGTTACTGCTGGTCCAGCAGGTGGGAGGAATACACCTACTAAACGTTTTCCTAAACATTGGAAAATTCTTCAGATTAAGATGCATTTGGATGAAAAGTGATAATAAAGTTGATCCTTTTTTCTATTTTCTAAAATATCAACCTTGAAAAAATTAAATCCTAAAAGTTGGAGGGGTCAAATATTAATCTGTTATCTCAATGAATTGTCTTCACTACCTGTTCTCTCACTGAGTTATCCTCCCCTGCCTGTTCTCTCAATGACTTCTCCTCTCTATCTGTTCTTTCTTAAAACCCTTGACCGTTATCAAGACAATTTAAACCTGTCCTCTCATTGAGTTCGATCCCCCCTACATGTTCTCTCAATGAGTTCTTCTCCCCTACCTGTTCTCTTAATGAGTTCTCCTCCCCTACCTGTTCTCACAATAAGTTCTCCTCCCCTACCTGTTCTCTCATTAAGTTCTCCTCCCCTATCTGTTCTCTCATTGAGTTCTCCTCCCCTACCTGTTCTCACAATAAGTTCTCTTTCTCTACCTGTTCTCTCATTTAGTTCTCTTCCCCTACCTGTTCTCTCAATAAGTCTCCTATGAAGAATTTCTAGATCAGTTTCTTTGACTAGAACTGGAGAACCAGAAACCTCCAGGATCTGAGGTTCTCGTCCCGTCCTAATAAATCAAACTTTTAAATCTGACATCAAGTTTCAAAATAAAAAATGCATTTTATCAAGTTAAAAAAGGTTGCTGATTCCATAAAATCAAGTGAACTATAATATTGAGTTTGTAACCTGGTTCTATTGGATATATCCAGTGCCCGAACCTGTTCAAGGGTTACTGGAGACTCTTCTCCGCTAAATGGTTGGAACACGTTGCTGGAGTCCACTGTACCGAAATATTGAACTCCTACAGATCAAAGATATATATATTAAAACCATTAATAGCAGCATTGATCTGTGGGGGGGGGGATGAGCTGTGTGTAAATCTATAGTTTTTTCTTTAAAATATTTTTATACGAGCTATAAGCGCAAAAAAAGAGGAAATGAGAACACTAGTGCAGGTCTCTGGTTGTGGCGAAAAGTCCCTTACGCGCCCCAACCCTTCTTGTGAATTATCTATGGCCCTGTTTAACACCTTGGTTTAACTGATGGTTCACTTAAAATTGATTTGTCGAATAACCATCTAATTTTTCTTCTGTATTTAAACTATATAGTACCTGTTTGTGGTGCGGAGGAATTATCCTAAAACAAAGTCTACATCAGATATTTTAGACAACAATTTTAATCTGAAAATTGTTTTGTTTAAATAGACTTTTACCTTGTAAAAAATTACTCCGGAGTCTGTCAAAGTCCAGCCAGGAGAATCCCAAACCACGCCCTACTCAAGAAAACAAAAAATCACGCCCTCATCGACAGACATCAAACCACGCCTTACTCAACAAACATCAAACTACGCCTTACTCAACAAACATCAAACTACGCCTTACTCAACAAACATCAAACCACGCCCTACTCAACAAACATCAAACTACGCCCTACTCAACAAAAATTAAATCACGCCCTACTCAACAAAATCAAATCACGCCCTATTCAACAAAATCAAACCACGCCCTACTCAACAAACATCAAATCACGCCCTACTCAACAAAATCAAACCACGCCCTTTTCAACAAACATCAAATCACGCCCTACTCAACAAAATCAAATCACGCCCTACTCAACAAAATCAAATCACGCCCTACTCAACAAAATCAAATCACGCCCTATTCAGCAAAATCAAACCACGCCCTACTCAACAAACATCAAACTACGCCCTACTCAACAAAAATTAAATCACGCCCTACTCAACAAAACCAAATCACGCCCTACTCAACAAAATCAGATCACGCCCTATTCAACAAAATCAAATCACGCCCTATTCAACAAAATCAAATCACGCCCTACTCAACAAACATCAAACTACGCCCTACTCAACAAAAATTAAATCACGCCCTACTCAACAAAATCAAATCACGCCCTACTCAACAAAATCAAACCACGCCCAACTCAACAAACATCAAATCACGCCCTAATCAACAAACATCAAATCACGCCCTACTCAACAAGCATCAAACTACGCCCTACTCAACAAAAATTAAATCACGCCCTACTCAACAAAATCAAATCACGCCCTACTCAACAAAAATCAAATCACGCCCTACTCAACAAAATCAAATCACGCCCTATTCAACAAAATCAAACCACGCCCTACTCAACAAACATCAAATCATGCCCTACTCAACAAAATCAAATCACGCCCTACTCAACAAAATCAAATCACGCCCTACTCAACAAAATCAAATTACGCCCTATTCAACAAAATCAAACCACGCCTTACTCAGCAAACATCAAATCACGCTTTACTCAACAAAATCAACCCACGCCCTACTCAACAAAATCAAATCACACTCTACTCAACAAAATCAAACCACGCCATACTCAACAAAATCAAATCACGCCCTACTCAACAAAATCAAACCACTCCCTACTCAACAAAAATTATACCACTCCAATAACTGATAGATTCGGTTTTCGTCATATCTATAGTTGATAAATATCTTGATATATCATTTATTTATGTCTACAGAGTTTTCAATCCAAATAATACCTTTTCCTTTACTCCAGCATTTAGTAAAATCCGACCGTTAGAGAGAAGCCGTCCTAATGATAAAATATTTCAAATACATTTGTTAATAGCCACCAAATATTTATAGAGATCAAGCCTTGAAACAACATTTACCAATAGGAACAACTATAGGAGTCCCTGTAGGAGGAACAGTTATCATCGTCATGGTACTTCCGGTCTGGGTTGCTTCGGAGGATTGTTGGTTGGTGTTGATGGAACCGTAGGTTGCTTGAAAATCATTGTTATTGTTGTTGTTTCTGTTGTTGTTTGTGTTTACAATCACGTTACTCACCTAAACATTAAATTTCCAGACAAGTTATTTTTTGGACAAGATATATCCGGACAAGCTTTATTAGACAAGATATTTCTGGACATGCTTTTTTAGACAAAATATTTCTGGACAAGCTATTTTTTGACAAGATATTTCCGAACGAGCTATTTTTTGACAGAATATTTTCGAACACGCTATTTTTTGACAAGATTTTTCCGGACGAGCTATTTGTAGACAAGATATTTTTGAAAAAGCTATTTTTAAACATGGATATTTGCGAAAAAAGGTTATTTTTATTTTTAATATTTTCTGACTCATTTTTATCTTTATGTTTTCAAGGACACATAAAACATATATATATTGAAATATTTAGAACAAATAAACCGAAAACATTAAATCTATAAACACTAATCCTTACTTGATTAAAAGACATGAGTAAGAATGCCAGGAGATTATATGAATTGAATCCGAATTTACCGGAACCTCCCGGGCATTCAGATCTCCGAACCCGGGCACTACGGTTTCTGTCCTCTTCATAGTTTATCAGATCTTCTAAACTTTCATTCACAGAATCCATTTTAGTAAATAGCTTGAGTTCACATCATTATTCTGATCAAATATTAAAGGGACTGTAAGCGTTATTTCAAGTGACCCTCCCCAAGCAAAGATGACAATGCCCGATTCACAACACAATGGTATCTTTAAAAGCTTTGTCTGATTATATATGAATTAGATATCTTTGTTTATAATTTTAAAAAACTTTTTTTTTCAATTGTAATCTCTAATTACTAAAGAAATTACCAGAATTTAATAATCAGGCAAAGATACCGTTGTGAATCCGACATTTTTATCTTTGCTTGGAGGGTCACTTGAAATTCCGCTTAAAGTCCCTTAAATAAAAGGGTGAATTTATTCAATATTTACAAATATATGTTATCAAATATATGCTTATCAAGCTTTGCTCTTGAACATAATAAACGGTATGATAGACTGATAACAGGATAAGAAACTTAATGAAAAGAAGAAACGATCAAAAATTGTCAGTGCAAAAAAAACTGTTCTCCGCGATTTTAGTTAATTTTATAGGCATTGTGTTCTGGCCACAAACTCTAATTTTCTAATCCCTATATTTTCAAGTCTATGACATTGGATTACAAAGATTGAAGGATTAGAAAATTTGTGTTCGTGGCAAAGACTCAATTCCGTTCTGACAGTTAAGAACACTTTTTTTAAATCGAAATTTTAGCAAAAGTTACAATACTTTCTACATTAATGATAATTCCTTAGATTTCTCAAATTACAATTGCAATAATATTTTCACCAAGCGTGGAAGTGAAATATATCCAATATAATACGAAAATGTATTGAAAGAATTAGACTTAGTAAGTTCCTCGTATGCGAGTAAGGTAGAATTTATATTGGAGTGTATATATTAAATGATCTAGCGGTTCTTCTAGCGGAATCCTTGTATACTACCTGTACTCTGACTAGCAGTTCTTCAAGTTCCACAGAAAACATAAAAATACGGTTATACATGGAAAATAAACAGTATTAATGGAGGAAATAAAAAATATAACGAGATATATCTATATTGCGTACTAAACTTAATATTTGCAACTAACTTTTGTTTTATTGTTTATTTTCAATTAACGACTAGAGAACTAACGAATATATTTTTTCATACATTTATTAATGAATTTGACAACCTAACTAAATATAAAACTATACCAAAAAATGCATAACACTATTCCTGTCTTTTAAATATACAGCACTAAAAATGAGTAACATTCTATAAAAAATATATTTGAATGAGTGGCAAGAAATGTGTGATAATGTTATGCGAAAAAATTAACAATTAAAGGAATTAAGCTTTTGCCACAAACTCAAATTTTCTAATCCCAATATCTTTGTAAACTGATGGCGTGTTAGATTATTTGATATAACAGAATTCTATAGTTTGAAATATTTAAGGTCTACAACATTGGGTTGTAAAGATGTAAGGATTAGAAAATTTGAGCTTGCAGCTCAGCTCATTTGATTGCAGTCTCTTCTGTAATCTAAAGAATACAATTTATAATATTTTCAAAAATACCAAGAATACAGAGTACAGGCGACACTTTTGAGAGCTAATTACAGTAAGTCGGACAATGTTATGTTTATCGAAACTTTGGTATTCACGGACTTAACAATATATTAAAGACGACTTTACAGAGTTGACACTCAGCTCTTTTGTATATTGGGAAGAGGGTATGGTGGAGGGTTGCTGAAACCCCGCCGAGAACACAATTTTAATTTTGATGGGCTGTGTTAGCATGGTTCATTTTTCAAGACTTTTAAAGTTTTTGGACTTTCAAAAGTTTCCAACAAATTTCAAAACTATTTATTAAAAACATTTGATCAAATTTTTAATACAATTTTGAAATGTTGTAACCTTCACAGATTTCTATGGAGCCTTTTGAAAGTCTAAAAACTTTGAAAAATTAAAAATACCTAGTTTAAAAATAAAATAAAATTTTTTTTATAGATCTGACAATTAATGATCTATAGTTTACAACACACCGTTGACTAACTATAAACCTTGAACAATCCCTTTGAATTGTATCTTTAATTCTTTGAAAAGGATCACAAGACTAGATTATTTTGAACCCGTTTCTTCCAGATTTGCGGATAAGTATCTTCAGTGTTGAGTATCCTGGAACTCTGATCCTGTATCTACCTTCTCCCTTCTCCGTCCCTGATAACAATTGGATTTAAAGGAAACGCTTGCAAATTCTTCTTACCCGCACCTTCCCTTCCTTTCTAATATTATTGTTTTTAACCAATATCTTGACAAAAAAAAGCAACAATGAACCCACGGAAAACAAAAATTTGATAAAAACTTTTCTTTAGTTCATTCGTTTAAGAACTAATAAATTGCAGGAATCATAAAAGTTGCACATTCTTTGTGTGCCAAAAACTCAAATATTATACAGTAGTCAGCATTTATATCAATACAATGAAGACGATGTTTAGAATTGAGTTTTGATATCTTACTTTTAGGAGTTTACAAGTAAACAAAGAGAAGCTGTTAATTGATAGATCCTCCTTGTTTCTATGTTTCATGTGTTAGCTGTTTGAAACCTTGGTAGAAACCAAAATTGAAGTCTAAAGTCGCCTTTATTGTATTAATGTATTCGACGACGACTGTAGACTACATATTAAAAAACAAAGTTTAACAAACATATTTATCAACATTTTTCATCGAACCTGATTGATAGGTCCGACTAGAGAGAGGATGACTGGTAGAGAGATGAGACCATGAAATAAACCAAATATACAAATAAGGAAGAATATCTTGAAGAAGGAGAGGAAAACGTAACTAGAAGATGTTGCGAGAAGAATGAATGCAAGTAGAGTAGAGATACCGCCATTAAACACAGCAGGTCCCATTCTTCTCATAGTTCGTAGAACACGTGTATCCCTGAATATATAAATGAATTTTATTATTCTTATTTTTATCACCCCGCTGTCTTATGAGGAAACCTACCTATCCTCCTGTCTTATAAGGAAACCTACCTATTCCCATGTGTAGTACGGAGACTTACCTATCCCCATGTGTGGTACGGAAACTTACCTATCCCCTTGTGTGGTAAGAAAACCTACCTACCTATCCCCCTGACTTGTAGAGAAACCTACCTATCCCCTTGTGTGGAAAGGAAACCTACCTATCCCCTTGTGTGGAAAGGAAACCTACCTATCCCCTTGTGTGGAAAGGAAACCAAGCCTATCCCCTTGTGTGGCAAGGAAACCTACCTATCCCCTTGTGTGGTAAGGAAACCTACCTATCCCATCTATAGTAAGTCCACTCCTACCTATGTTAAGTCCCCTCTTACCTATAGTTAGTCCCCTCCTACCTATATTAAGTCCACTCCTACCTATGGTAAGTACCCTCCTACCTATGTTAAGTCACCTCATACCTATATTAAGTCCCCTCCAACTTATGGTAAGTACCCTCCTAACTATAGTAAGTCCCCTCCCACCTATGGTAAGTCCCGTCCTACCTATGGTAAGTCCATTCCTACCTATGGTAAGTCCCCTCCTACGTTAAGGACCCTCCTACTTTTTTAAGTCCCCTCTTACCTATGGTAAGTCCCCTCCTGTCTTAGTAGTCCCATCATACCTATGGTAAGTCCGCTCCAACCTATGGTAAGCCCCCTCCTACCTATATACCTATGGTTAGTCCCCAAAAATGCATGAATCCTGCCACATTGACCAAGGTTCCAGCAACACAGAATATCACGATGCAGGCTCCCTTTATACTAAAATAAAAGTAAAACTTAAAATATATTTTGATCACTAATACGAATTCTGACAATAATTCTAAAGACATTTAAAAAAGAAGGTTAATCCTTATATTTTTGCAACCTGCTGTTAATTTTTCTAAGAATTCTGTTATATGAAATAAAGTCTGAAATACAACATTTTTGCACCATCAGGTTTCAAAGATATAAATCTAGAGTTTAAGGCAAGTAATCAAATGGTTACACCCATCAGGTTGCAAAGATAAGGCTTATAAAATGTTTACCTGCCCAGAAGAATAAGTAGTGTGATAAATATTGCCAGTATAGATGAAAGAAGGTTTTGATAAAGCTCTTCTCCAATTATTTTATCAGTCTCCCAGTTCGCATACCTAGCAATACACCATTCGTAACACAGACTTTCAAATCGATTTGACGCAATTGTCTGGGAGGAGGAGGAGGAGGAGTGTAAACAAACTTCTGACGGGGAAATAACGGAACTGAAAGGTTTACAACCTGGGAACCCAGCTTTGCCTGAAGCTTTCTACAGTCGTCGTATACACCAATATAACGAAGACAACTTTCGATTTTAATTTTGATTTCTATCAAGATTTCAAATAGCATAAATACATAAATACATAGGAAGTAAACAAAGAGAAGCTATCAATTAACAGCTTCTCTTTAATTACTTGTAAACTTGTAATTAAAACAAAAACTAGAACTAAAACTTAAACTAGAACTAAAAACTTAAACGGAAAAGTCGTCTTAAGATAATTTAGAAGTTTTAAACCAAGCTTAAAAATGATTCCTGTGGCTCGAATAAAAGCAGTTTTGATATTTTCTCAAACACAACGTAAATGGAACTTTTCATGTAAACAAAAACCTTGAACAATGAACATTGAACATATCTCAGAAAATTTGGTATAGATTATTAGTTTGAAATTAACAAATCATATTCCGAACTTAACGCTAACCTTGGAGCTATGGCAAACGCAGGCGATATTTGTCCTAAGTTAAATTCTCCCGTTATATCGGACTCCTCGGCTATATCTCGAGCCCAGTCCATCGCAGGAACCCACTCAGATGATTCTTGGAGTAGAACATGACTGTACTGTATTGCAGACAATAGCACTCTAAACAAATAAAATATTTAGAGAAAAAAACCAATAATTTTGCTTCTATTACCAGGCATTCAGAGAGACACATAAAACTGTGAAGTAGGAAGACGACTGTTTATGGATTAAAACAGACCAATGAACTTTAAACGAAGCAATTGTGCAGAGTGTAAAAGGCCCATTTCACTGTAAACTAGCCAGGACGAGATGGTCAACTGTATGCAACACCATTGGTACAACTTTGTGACCTAATACCTCCTCTAGTTTTGATTTTACGAACAAGATTGAGAAAAACTAATTTATCCAGTTACGAAATTAAAACAGTTTTGTTCTTCTCAATAGGTCTTCAACAACAATAGTGAGTTGATTTTTAAGCTGTTACTGATAAAACCTTTTTGCTTTTTAAACTTCATCACGTGCACATGAGATTGCTTAAATATTGTCTTACTATTACAGAGTTTTATGGGCCTTTTGTATGTATACCGAACCTTGGAGCTGGTTGTCCGCACTCTAGGTCCCCGTCAAACAAGAAGTTTAGCCTATACTTGGCTCCGACAGGAGAAAACAGGAACTGAGAGAGTTTGGATTGAAAATAATCATCCGTCAAGTTTCTCCAGTCCATTGCTTCAGCTTCAAGGCTTTCAACATAATCCTAAAATTAATATTTATTTGGTTTAGATCTTCTTTCCGTTTATGGATCAGGGATTGTTATTATGTCACACTTCGTGCGTCCTCTTCCTTACTCTCATATAAGGGTGGTGTATTTTTCACCCTAACGCAAATCCGCTATACTTCACTAGTAACCTACACCTGTCCTAGCCGCGGCGCACGGCCCCCTAGCCTGTCCGAGCCGCAGCAATCGGCCCATAAATTGTCTTAACCTAACCTAACCATCAAAAAATACTAAAATAAACATCTTGCGTAATGCATAGGTCCGATATTGCAGAAGGTCGGAAAGTTAGTAGGTCAGAAGTTCAGTAGGAGGGATGTTGCGTATAGACGATGTAACATATTACCTATAAATTAGAGGATAAACGCATTAATATAATACAGTAATATACTTGAAGCATGTCAATCTTTCTTAAAGAACTGTGCATGGGGGGGGGCAGGTAACAGGGGCGCATTGGAGGTTTAATCTACGGGTGTGAACTTTTTTTTAATTCTCCCCCTAGCGGTAGTTGTTCCCCCCCCCCCCTTGAAAACCGGTATTAAGAAAAGAATTGAGTTTTACTAATGGCTAATAACTCAAAATGGACCAATTGTCAATTGCTAAGAAAACTGATATATTTGGAAGTTTAATATATCAGGCCTCTTAAGGTCAGGGGGGCCTAGGGGGCCTGGGGTTCTCCCCAATACGCAAATGCCAGGTAAAATATATATTATCAGTGCTCACATCTCTTACAGACGATTTCTTGATTTTATAGATGGAATAATTTCCAACCTTAAAAACATCCTGCCAGGAATCTATAGAGTTGATGACATCAGTCTGATTTTTGAACTTTGAAACCAGGGTATCTATTCTCTCCCAGTTCTCAGGGTAGTTTATTCCCTGAAATATTAACATTTTGAATAATAAGACAAAGGAACTGAGTTTTTGCCACAAACTCTGGTTTTTATTCCCTATTTCTTTGAAATCTGTTGTCGTAGATCTTTAAAATTTTAAACTCTGAAATCTGATAGATCAAATAACCTAAGTTTAAAATATCAAAGGTTTACACAATCAGGTTGCACGGATTTAGGGGTTAGAAAATTTCAGTTTGTGTCAAAAACTCCTTTATATGTTTTAAATTTTTAAACCCAACTTGATAAAATCAATAAGAAAATGCTGCTTGTTTTTTAGTGAAGTTATATAAACTTTTACAACCTTTTCTAAATGCAAAACTTGTTCAAATATACGTAGAAAACTTGTTTAAGTCTATTTAGAAAACTTGTTCAAGTCTATTTAGAAAACTTGTTCAAGTCTACTTAGAAAACTTGTTCAAGTCTACTTAGAAAACTTGTTCAAGTCTACTTAGAAAACTTGTTCAAGTCTAGTTAGAAAACTCTAATGTCGGATTTATTGAAAGTTTTTGTTTTCTCTGAACACGTTTTAAAGGTAAAATTTTTTACTTAAACTTTTAAAATTAAACTTTTAGAATTGACTATGCAGGATTGTAAGATCTTGTACAGTGAGATCTTTAAAACTGTGGAATAGGAAGACGACATTTAAAAGGACTGTACACGTAATTTCGGGTGACCCTTCACTGTAAGAGTGGCATATCTGATTCATGTTCCTCATAAGCGTTGTCTGATTCACATAGGTTCCTCATAAACGTTGTCTGATTCACATAAGTTCCTTATAAGCGTTGTCTGATTCACATAGGTATCCTTATAAGCATTGTCTGATTCACATAGGTTCCTTATAAGCCTTGTCTGATTCACATAGGTTCCTTATAAGCCTTGTCTGATTCACATAGGTTCCTAATACGCGTTGTCTGATTCACATAGGTATCCTCATAAGCGTTGTCTGATTCACATAGGTTCCTTATAAGTGTTGTCTGATTCGCATAGGTTCCTTAGAAGTGTTGTCTGATTCACATAGGTTCCTTATAAGTGTTGTCTGATTCGCATAGGTTCCTTAGAAGTGTTGTCTGATTCACATAGGTTCCTTATAAGTGTTGTCTGATTCGCATAGGTTCCTTAGAAGTGTTGTCTGATTC